CTGGGCAAGTTCTTTTCCTTCCCAGGATCTCAGTTTTACCATTTGCAATGTGAGACTATCTCTAAGTCCCTTACAAATCTGACATCTTAGGAGTTCACAGATGGGCAGACAATGAAGACCAAACTTTCTCAATGTAGGAGTGAGTTAGTTTGGATTCTTTTTGTCTTCAGTGGCAGAAACCTGTTAAAAAGAACTTTAAATTAAGAGGTATTATATCAGTTCATAAAGGAAGAAGCCCAGGGATTGCAGGCTGCAGGCAGAGGTGGATCCAGGTGCCCCAGCAATGTTGTCAGCTCTTTCTTAGTCTCAGCTTTCAGCTCAGATTCCTTCTGTGTTGCCCTCTTCCTCAGCTCAGGAACAGGGTTTTCTGTGATGGCATGATAGGCTCTATTAGGTCCAACAGAAAATATTCTAGAGCTATAACTCCAAAAGAAAGTGCTATCCCTTTGCACCTTCTAAAAGAAGCATCCCAGGAAAGGTGCCAGTTTGCCTCACTGCAATCACCTGCCTATCCCTGTGAGTAGCAGGATGGGGTGAGGTACTGTACTGGTACTCCCACTGAGGATGATAGGAAACAGAAGTCTTCCTGTCTTCCTCAAAGCAAAGGACCCCAAATATGAGAAGACAGGTGAGCTGAAATGAGCTCTGCGGTCTGAAATAACAGCAACCACAGGCCACTCCAAAGGCCATTAGCACAGAGAGGAAGAGGGACTCTCCCAATCGATAAGGTATTCATGCACTTAGCCCTGCTTAGAGCTGGAGTGTGGGGGTAAGAATCATGAACAAATGATCTTGGCCCCGGAGAAGGAGCAGGAAAAACCCTCCACACCATTAAGACTGTGGTGCCAATGGCCAGCCATGTGCAGCTTGGCTGTAATGCCATGAGGGAATTAGGGAGGTTTGTGAGAAGCCCTTGGTGGCCGTGGGAAAGACAAGGATGGAGGTGTAAAGCAGCACATTTGGGCTTAAAATGTGGAGAGGAAGAATCAAGACGAGATGTGAGGCATAAGAGGTAGCAGGACGGCTGACTTAAGCAGGGCTGAAGAAACACGATCTCCACTATGGCAAAATAAAAAATGAAAAAGAGTAACACTGGGGAAAACTAGAACAAAATATAGGTTAATACACATTTGTCTTGAGATGGGAATGGGCTTTTAAGCATTAAAGCAAAGAAAAATCAGATAAAAGAAAATCCTTGCCATATGTGACATAGAAAAGTCAAGCACACATTTCCAAACATCATAAAACTAAAAGGCAAGTGGCAAAACTGGAGGAAATATTTATAATATGAAAATATTTAATGATAAGATGAATGCTTATTTTTATAAAATAAGACCTCAACAACAACAACAAAGGCAAATGACAGGAACAATTTCCAAAAGGGAAATGAACAGTGGTATAGCCTTCTTCATTCAAAATGTACCCTGAGATCTCCCCATATCCGTACAGCCTGTACCCCAGCTTCAGGCCGCTCCCGTTGGAATACAGCGGATTGGCTTACTGATCCACAGAGAAAGCAAAGCTTGTGTAGAGGATGCTGGTCATTAGCTCAGCCTCTTAGAGGCCTCGCATCTGCCAATGTCTTTCTCTAAAGCCTTTTGCAAGACCCAACAGTAACTCTGGTAGGACAGGGACAGGTGAGAGGAAAGAAGCCGCTGCTCAGGTGCATTCCAGCCTAGGGAGCCCCTCAGTGGCTCCAGAGGCCTACAAGAGGGAAGGGGGTTGGATGCTGTCCCCCTCTCCCATCTAGAAACATCCCACAGCCCGTGCCACCATTCCTCAAGCCAGGTCAGTCCACAGATATGGACAGAGGCTGGGCCAAAACATGAGCAAGCCGTCATAACGCAAGAGGCTGGGGGTCTGCCCGCCACCCCTGCAAGCGACTGACACTGGCAGTTGTCAGGCTGGCAGCCTCAGATCCACAGGCAATTATCACATATTATGTAACTGTCCTTATTTAGGACTGCCATGCTGTGGTAAGGGCAGAGTTGGACATACATTCTGGCTCTGAGAGGAAGTCCTTTCACCTCTCTGGGCCTTGGATCCCTTGTCTGTATGAAACTGAGACCCTTCCTGAAGAGCGGATGCTCGATTGAATACAGTAAGTAAAGGACCCTACATGGTGCCCAGCAGTGAGGAGGGGGCCCCTAAAATGTTAGCTACAACTGACATGAAACCTCCATGGTGGAAGTGGATGTGATTCTCCAGCTGTTCCTCACAGCTCATTGTCAAGATACAACTCATCTCTCAGCATCCCCTCGGAAGTCCCAATCTGGGCCAGGTAAACATTTGAGGAAGGGGACAGACAGGACATGGAGAGATCTGGGAAGAAGCTGCACAAGCATCCAAGGAAAAAGGAACCTACCTATACTGGACATTGGACAGCCCCACAGAGAAACCCTCATTCTCCCTTCCTCCCACCAAGCAGTTTAACAGGCAGCTACTGTCCAGAGGAATCTAGTGAGTTAATACAGGGGGAGCACCAGATCCAGGACAGACAGGAGGGCTGGCTGGCAGAGGGGCCTGCACACAGACTCAAGACAATAAGCACAGACCAACCCCCAGCAGCAAGTGGCTGGCTTTATTTCTGGCTTATTCCTGATCGCAGCAGGAAGGTCAGGCCTCAGGAGCCCAGGCTGAGGGAGAATGAACCAGCACCTGAGACCTTGGGTATTCTGGAGACAGAAAGGTCTAGATAGGTTTAATGAAAACCAAGTCTGTCTGGACAAGACACGTAGGATCTGAGGTGAGGAAGTGTAACGGTGGTCAGCAGGGGATGGAGAGAAAAGTGGTTCTGCAGAATTACAGGACCGCATAGGCTCCAAGGATTCCCGAGCAGTTCAGGTGAGCAATCCCATTCTGTTCTGCTTTATATCTGGCAAATGTGACTCAGTGTTGGCTTTGATCACGCATTCAGAACTCTGTATTTCTAGGCCCCATTTCAGCAGGGGAGAGTATCTTGGTCAAGCCAAAGTCTGATTAGCTGGAGAGACCAGCATGTCATGGTGCCCCGGGAATATTAAATAATATTTACAGGGAATGACGTTGGGGAAATAATTACTGATGGTAAGAGGCAATCAACAGCAGGGAACTCCTCCACTGCTCAAGTGATGAGAAATTAGATGGAGCAAGGCTCAGAGCAGCAAGCATTTGTCATAGGGACAGTGAAGGGGGCTAGAAAGTCACCATTTCTGCTGATTCTGTTAATAGGATAAACCAGCCTTGCAAATAAGAGCCAGACCCCAGGAGGCCTGCATCTGAGGTGATTTTAAAATTAGGCCAGGTCCTGCCAATAGCTTCACTTTCAGAGGCATTAAAACAGGAAGAGCTTAGAGATCAGTCACACCAATGACTGTTTTGAAGGCTCTTGCCTTCCAAAAATACTGCAAGTATTAAGTAGTAATTAATTTTTTTCACATTTTTAATTCATCAAAGACACACAGAGGACTGCCAAGTGGGACATGCGAAAGACCTAAAGTTGATACCACTTTGGCTCTGTATTATTTTGTATAAATATAGCAGTGATGGCGAACCTTTTAGAGCTTTTTTTTTTTTTTTTTTGTTTGGTTTTTCTCCAGTACCGGGAACCGAACTCACGACCTTGCGCTTGCCAGGCAGGCGCTTTTTGCCGCTGAGCTAAATCCCCAGCCCTTTTAGAGCTTTCAATGATACAAACAGCCTGCTGCAGCACACATATCACAGATTCACCACCACTGCAATATAGTTTCCTTTTAGAAAAATATATAACCCAAGGGTCAAGGTTTTTTTTTTTTGAGACAGGGTCTCACTATGTAGTTCAAGTTGGCTCTGAATTCACTTTTCAGCCCAGGCTGGCCTTGAATTTTCAGCAGCTGCCTCAGCCTCCCAAGTCCTGGGATTACAGTGCCACTATGCTCGGCTCTAAGGGTTAAGTTTTAAATACCTGAGGAAGCTTGAAAACTCTATCTCAAAAAAAAAAAAAAAAGAAAAGAAAACTCTATCTCAGAAACCTTGAATCCAAGCCAAGTTTCTTCTACATAAGGAGACTAACACCCAGAGAGCACAAGTGGCTTGCCCAAAGTCAAACAACTGGCTGTCAGTAGAGTCAAAGCTAGACCTGAGGAGCTGGGTGGAAAGGATAGCACGAGTAAACTATAGCTGTGAATGCAATGGCAGAGCGGGCTATGGACACCAGGGAACATGGGCCTGATGCTCATCCTCAGTACTTACTAGCTGTGTGACCCTGGCCAAATGATTTAAGCTAGATTCACATACTATTGCAAGGAAGAAATAACAAAACAGAACACTTAGTTAATAGTAGCCACTATTATTTAATCCATTTCAGTGTGTGTGTGTGTGTATGTGTATGGTGGGGATGGTGTCTGGGTTAACCCAGAAACAAAGACAAGCTTGGGGAATGAGGTCACGTGATCCAACTTCCAAGTGCTGTCTTGACAATGCCAGCAGGTGACAAACTGTCTCAACAGTGCTCTAGGTACTAGCACAACGCTGTTACTACTCAGAAATGTCATTCAGAATTGAATGTGCCTCAGAACCAAGGCCCCATCCAGACTCACTACCTTTGAAACCCTGAAAGGTGAAATGAGAACCTGCACTTCCAAAAACTGAGATACACTTACACACCCTAACAGTCACCATTTTAAAGTATGCACTTTCAGTGGTTTTTAACATCGTATGTGCACAGGGTTGTTAGTACCATCACCAATTCCAGGAAATTTTCAAAAGAAACCCCGGATCCATTAGCAATCACTTCACATTTCCTCCTCCCATGTTCTGACAACCACTGAGCCACTTTTCATCTCTATGGATTGTGTGCTCACATTCCATGTGAGTGGCTAGTCTCTGTCTAGCCTCTTCCCTCGGCACACCCATTCAAGGGTCACCCGTGTGGTCACATGCATCGGGACTTCATTCCTTAAGAGTCTGTCCTTTTAACAAGCTCCCCAGGTAGTTCTCATGAGTGGGCTTTGGGTAAGAAAAGAATAGCAAATTCACACAAGGTGAAACTAAAGGTTTATTATAAAGTTACAGAGTGTGCCTGTCTCTAACGCCTACAGGGAATAGGTAATGCCGGCTGCCTGTCTCCTCCAGAGACTGCAGGGCTGGGCAGTGTCTCCTGGGTGCTCTGCAGAGAGATGTGTACAAATGGACCCGGCTTAAAAAACTGTAAGTGGCCTGGCTCAGAAAACTGGGCAGAGTAACTACAAGAGTCTCACACAAGAGGATTAGTCTCAATTCAAAGACTTTAATGTACATTATGCTCTTGGAAAAACATCTCCAAGGAAACAAGAGAAACTGAAGTCTTAACCAGCAGGGATTCTATTCAGAAACCTGCTGTGAGCCCCAGCTTTAGGAGACAATGGCACCAGGACTTAAGAGTACAACAAACGATCCGAGGTCAGTGTGGAGGGCCTGTGTATCCATCTAGAGATGGAACTCTGCCCACACAGCACAACAGGCATGCCCTCAAGACTCCCAGGAAAGCAGAAGCACCCTCATTCTGACGACAGACAGCTCCACAGGAGGGCTGGGAAGATTCAGGCTGACCAGGTCATTTCCAGAGCTCAGAAGGCACAAACTTCAATAGGGCCTAAGAAGCCTTCTTCGGACAAGAACTTTTCGTTTTATTGTTGTATTTCCAAGTCATCAGAAACAGTCATGGTAGCTCTTGTGAGGAATCGGGGCACAAAGAGGGTACCAAGCCTGCCTGAGTCTGAGGCTTTGGAGTGCAATAGATGGTAAATGATAGCACCGGGATCCCTGAGGCCAAGGGCCACTCCAGGTTTGGGAGATTAACCACTGGAGCCTCTGGACAAGACCATGGGATTTAGGCGGAGAAAGCTAACACTGACCCAATCTGTCTTCTTTGTTACCCACTTCCCAGTCCAGGCTCACTACTGTTTTTTGTCACGGACTCCCATTCAAGCAGGGGCAGGCAGAAATTGCAGCTCATTTCTCCTATGAGCCTATATTTAACTTCAAAAAGTCATCCACTGATATCTCAGACTCTCAAGGCGATCTAAGGTTTCTTGTTTTCTAATTATCCTATAGGTCAAGAGATCAGTTCTCTTGGACTTTCAGTTTCACTTCTCACGAGAAGGAATGACGCTGCTACTGAGGCAGGTCTCTCCCAGGAGCTTCTGTAAGAGCTTGTCAGCTTAGCCAGGACTGGGCTGACACAGAACCCACAAATGTGCTTTTAGGATGGGTATAGCCTCTTTTACAATAAAGTATTTTATTTACTGGTGAAGGAGGGAATTCTGGCTCCATCTTTCAGAACCTGGCAGGACTGTTGCCCTGGAGGGTTCCAGGAAAAGACAAGGTGAATGGAGAGGTCAAGACTGCATTCATGTGGGAAGGGGGCTCTCACAGCTCCCGTGTTCGCAGTTAGCCAGTCTCGATGCCCTCGGGGAGCTCCACCACCACCGGGGCACAGTCCTCAGGCTCTGAGGCAAAGTCCCACCGAAACTTCTTGGTCAGGTGGGCTTGGAACTTTTCAGCTTTCTTCCTCAGGGTGGGATCCACCGCAATGCTGCTGGCTGAAGAAAAGAAAACCTACAGAGAACACAGGGTAAGTCATTCCTGAGAACAGAAAGCTGTGGAAATTTCCTTCTGGTGTTCAGTTCTCTGGGGCAGTTGATCAGGTGCTGCTGGCACAGGTCTAGGACACCTGCCGTGCCCACCCCCACCCCCACGAAAGAAGGTCCAAACCCAGCTGAGATGCTGGAACAGGACTAGAATGGAAAATTACTATGCTGGACAGACACCCCATGGAGACTATGGCCAGTGGGACCACCACCGCTGTCCTACACCTTAGGGTGGGGGAGGGTGTATGAGGCACCTGGGCAGTAACTGAGAGGAACCAGCAACTACACTAGCTGGTACTAAGAAAGGGAGGCATATACATCTTGGGATCTCATAAATCCTAGGCTCTTGGTTAATGAGGCCAAATTGCTATTCTAGTCTTCTAAATGGGTTAGGGTCCATCAGTCTGAGGCTTCTGTCTGCCTTAAAAGCTGTCTTAGATGTTCATTTAAAAAAAAAATTGTTTAAATTGTGGTAAAACATACATACTTACCATTCAAACCATTCTTTCTAAATCCTTTTTAAGTGTACAATTATGTGGCATTAAGTACATACACATTATTGTGCATTACCACCATTCATCCACAGAACTTTCATCTTTCCCAAATGAAATTCTATACTCATTAAACACTAATTCCCCACTCTTTCTTTCCTAGCCCCTGGTAACCACTCTCCTATTTTCTGTATCTATGAATCTGACTATATTAGGTACCTCATATAACGTTTACCGTTTTTTGTCTGGCTTATTTCACTTAGCATACTGTCTTCAAGGTTGCAGCATGTGTCAGAATTTCATTCCTTTTCAAAACTGAGTAATATTCCATTGTATGAACACTGTATTTGTCTTTTCATCCCTTAGTGGTCATTTGGGTTGTTTCTACATTTCAGGTATAGTCAATAAAGTTGCTATGAATATGGCTGTACAAATACAGTACTTGTTTGAGTCCCTACTTTCAATTTTTTTTTGTTGGGGGGTATAGACCTACGACAGAACTACTGGTAATTCTATATTTAGTTTTTTGAAGAACTGTCACACTTTTCCACAGCAGCTGTACTATTTTACATTCCAACCAGCAGGGCACAAGGGTTCTGATTTCTCTAGGTCCTAGCTAATACCATGTATTTTCTTTGTTGTTATTTATTAATAGTCACCCGCTCTAATGGGTGTGAAGTGATAGCTCAATGTAGTTTTGATTTGCATTTCCTTAATGATCAGTGAGGATCTTTTATGAGCATATTGGCCATTTGTAAACTGCAAATTTCTTTGGTAAAATACAGTTTCCTTCGACTATTTAAAAACTGAGTTGTTTGGTTGTTGAGTTGTATCAGTTCTTTACAGATTCTAAACATTCATCTCTTATTTTGATGTTCTTCTGAATTCAGTTTTACCTAATAAAACATGGGCAGGGGGACAGAATAACAATTTTCTCTACACCTTATAGCCCATTCTAAATTATTCTAGATCCTAGTTCCTTCTAAAAATAACAGCAAACCCACTACTCCTTACACGATCTTACTGGTCTCAAAGAAGTTTCAGCATATCCAACTGGATGCTCACCTTGCCCTGGCAAGATACACTAGAACGTGTATTTTAAGGACATGGAGACTGAGAGGTATTAAATGGCTGGACCAAAGCATCCAAAAGGAAAAGAATGGTCTTTCCCATATTACCACCTGCTGCCCCACAGGACCCCACAGGCACAGACACGAGGGCAGAAGCAGTAGTTGTTTGGTCCATATTACCCTTATGCACAGCTGGTCTGCATATCATCATGGAAGAACTCTGGCTCCAGGAGATCTAACTTGACAAAAGTAACAGATTTCCTCTATTACTGCTTTGAGGGACGACATGCCCCTCCTCCCACCTCTCCATAGCCTTTCTGTTAGGGGCACCAAATAATTGATCAATGATTATGTGATGGTGCTAGAGAGAAAAGGCTCATCCTGTGGAGGTGGTGGTTTGTGTACCAGACCCCTAGATGCCACTGGCTCCCAAGCTCTACTCTCTTGTGAGGTGGCTTGTGTAAAGGCCCAGGCTGAAATGAACTGTTCCAACCTCTGATCCCCTAGCACTGTCCCCAAGGCTCTCACACCGTGCTTGCTTCACAGTGGTGTGCATGCCTGCAAGAGTAAGGAGCATGTCCTAATTATCAACGTGTCCCACACAATATATCACTCAGGACCTGGCATAGAGTTAGAGCCCACAGGACTCTCACTGAATGGTCAGAACAAGACACAGGATTGTCTTGCATTTAGCAATGGCCAGAAGTGAGAGGCTGGAACAAGCTGGTCTCATACATCATCCACCCTTCCACCCACCTCTCAGACATGCCTGAGAGTAGAACCAACTAGAAGTGGGTACACAACAGAAGGCTTTAGTTTTAAAACTACAGCTTCTAATTTGAAAACCGGTTTGTCCTTTTTAAAGAACTTGTCCACTTAATCTTTCTATAAACCTGGCAGACAGAAAGACAGGAAATTACTACTCCCACTGCACAGACAAGGGTGTTAGGTGTGCTGCATCATGCAGTGATAAATGCTGAGTAAGATCCAGTCCAGAGGCGTATCTCAATTTAATCCTTTCCCCCAAAAGAGTGCTCTGAGGGGCTGGGGATTTAGCTCAGTGGCAAAAAGCGCCTGCCTGGCATGCGCAAGGTCGTGAGTTCAGTTCCTGGTACCGGAGAAAAACCAAAAAAAAAAAAAAAAAAAAGAGTGCTCTGTTTTGACAAAGACTAAACACAACCTTGATATTTAATTTTTGGCACTACTGTGTGTATGCAGGGACCTGCAATGTACATGTGCTTGTGGAAGTGTCTCCCTTCAGGCCTCTAGGACCCAGGGCACAACCCAGGTTGATTTAAAAAGTTTTGGGCTGGACATGGTGGCACATGCCTGTAATCCCAGCACTCAGGAGGCTGAGGCAGAAGGATAGTTGCGAGTTTGAGGCCAACCTGGGCTATATATTGAGTTTAAGCCCAGCCTCTGAACTGCATAGCGAGACCTTGTCTCAATACATAAACGACAGGGAAAGAGCTAGCGAGAGCAAGCAAGCAAGCTTTGAGGACTGGGAGTGGTGGTGCATGCCTGTAATCCCAGTACTCAGGAGGCTGAGGCAGGACTGCTGTGAGTTAGAGGCTACCCTGGGCTACAAACTGAGTTCATGGTCAGCCTGAACTGCATAGCAAAATCCTGCCTCAAAAAGACAAAACAAACCAACTCTGAAGCACAATTTGCACATAATTAAATTCATCCATTATTAAGTGTTTGATTCATTCGAACAGATGCACACTGCCATATAACCACCACATGACATATATGTACAGCATTCTCTTTTGGAATCTAGCTCTGAGTCTCAAGACCCATATGTATTTGTGTGGTCATCACCACAATCAGGATTTAGAACAGTTTGGTTATTCCAGAAAAATGCCTTCATGCTGGCCCTTGGCAGCCAAACCCCTCCCCTTACCCCATCGCTTAGCACCTCTTATTTATTTACATATGTTTGTTTGTTTGACGCAGGGTTTTACTATGTAGTTCAGGCTGTCCTTGAACTCACTATGTAGCCCAGGCTGGCCTCAAACACATGGTGTTCCTCCTGCCTCAGCCTCCCTAGGGCTGGGATCACAGGCATGCACTACCATGTATGGCTCTGATTTACTTTTGACCCTACAATTGCACAAACTGGATATTTTTAAAAAACAATTCAGAAATGTACTTTAAACATAGTTTTTGCCAGACGTGGTGGCACATGCCTATAATTCCAGCACTCAGGAGGCTGAGGTAGGAGGATCGTTGCAAGTTTGAGACCAGCCTGTGCTACAAAGTGAGCTCAAGGCCAGCCTAAACTGCACAGGGAGACCCTGTCTCAAAAAGACCAAAACAAACAAAAACAAAAAACCAAAAAATATAGTTTCCAATCAATACTTTACTCTGATTTTGTTATTTGCAGGATAATTTTATGCCTTCTTTTAGAAAACAGCAATAATCTCTCTTTTTTATTCACTAAGGTGAAATCAAGTAAACATTTTCCAACATCTTTGAGAAATGAATCACTTTAATTTTGGCAGGTTAACTCTAGATAGTTTTAAAATATTTTTGAAGTAGAATGATCACATTTTTAAACAAATGCATTTATCTAAAATAAGAAACACACCTATTAGGTGCTTTTCTTTAAATATTAAAAAAAGTATTTATCTAAAATAAGAAGCGGGGCTGGGGATTTAGCTCAGCGGCAAAAGCGCCTGCCTGGCAAGCGCAAGGTCGTGAGTTCGGTTCCCGGTACCGGAGAAAAACCAAAAAAAAAAAAAAAAAAAAATAAGAAGCACACCAATTAGGTGCTTTTCTTTAAATATTAAAAAAAGTATCAACATTTTAATCATTAAACCTATTACACAATTTTAAATTACTCTAGTCATTAGCGTGAAAGTTTAAAAAAAACCCAAGTTAAATAAATTGAGTGCAGGCAGGTCACCTTGAGAAACTTAGAGTAGGAAGGTAGGTAGCTTTTGTCATTATCATATCCTATTTTTTGGTTAGATGAAAAAGAAGAAATTTCCTAATTTTTTCAATACTCCATTTAGCTTAGAATAAAACTCGCCATAAGTAGAATGTCTTATTACCATTCTGAGCAGAAAAAGTGGTGTTAAAATCAAGACTATCACTTCCCAATGATGGCAAGGAAGGTGAAAAACTGCAGGAATCCTATCATCTGAGGTCAATTTAAAGACTCCACAGTATTTTATCTGGAGCTCTAATCATACATGGGAGCCCACCACAGGCCTTAGAATCCAAAGCTCAACCTTGCATCCACTAACTGCTCTGTGATCATGGGTAGAATTATGTGACCTCTCTCCTCATCTATACAATGAGATTATAACCTAACTTTCAGCACTGCTGCGAGGACTAAGTGACATAATGGACACTCAGCATGCAAGTAACAGCTGACAGCAGGAGGGTACGAATGCTGGGTAAATTTATCACAGTTGGCATCATAAAACTGCTACAGAAGTCATCAGAGTCCATGTTGTCCTTAAGAGTTAAAGATGGACACTAGTATCCAGAATACTGGCAAGACACAAAGCTGGAAAGCACCAATAGCCTAGTGTAACTAAAAAGAGAAGTCCCCGCCCCCGCCAAACCAGGTTATGTGACTATATCTAAGTGCTATGCCATCAGCAATAAGAAGCCTTATTTTGTATGTAACTCTTTCTAACATACTACTATTAAATTCAGATTATCCTTTTGCTGGTTTTAAACAAATTATGGTGACCTAATTTACTTTAACTAAAAGAAAAACTGTATTGATTTTTGTGAAACCATTTTTATTCAAGCTAAATCCAAGGGATTTATAAAAATCAGTGGCATCTATTCAAAAGTACCTAACACAGGAAAGTTGAAAAATAATGGCTGAGGCCATTATGGGGCTGATTTTACTCACATTAATGTAGCTGTCTTTAATGTCTTTATGTGCTTGCACACAAACACCAGTTCTTCTCCATGGGCAGTAGCCATTTAAGCTCCTAAGTAGGGAAGCTAGCTCCACTTACTTGACTGCCTGTGAGCAGGCAGCTAGCTGAAGGCAGCTTTTATGGTCTGATTCATTCAGTCTCGAACACCCTGAGTGAGTCCCTCTATGCGGGGGACTGGATTCTCACTGCCAACATGGCATCAATATGATTCTCCACTAAAAAAAAAAAAAGTTTTGTAATATCCTTGTCCATGTTGTATCTTTTAATTTTATTTTTTTATTTTTTTATTTTTTTGGTTTTTCTCCGGTACCGGGAACCGAACTCACGACCTTGCGCTTGCCAGGCAGGCGCTTTGCCGCTGAGCTAAATCCCCAGCCCCCATGTTGTATCTTTTAAAACACCAATAACGCCTCAAGCTCATGGTCAAATGCCCCCCTTCACGTGAAGCTATTTCTGACCCGCTGTCCTTCAAACCTCCAACTCCAGTCAGAATTAATCACTGTCTCTTTGATGCTCCTAATGCCCTTCAGTTAGACTTCACTATTTATACTGCCACAGGAATTATTACTCTTTCCATCTAAAAACAACCAGTAACACAAAGTGAGAGAAGTGTTAGGCCTTGGCTAGGTGTTGAAAATAACCAGTTGGGGGCTGGGGATTTAGCTCAGCAGCACAGCGCCTGCCTGGCAAGCGCAAGGTTGTGAGTTCGATTCCCAGTACCGGGGGGCGGGGGGGAAGCAAATAACCAGTTGATCAAAAAACTGGCCTTGTGTTAAAGAAGCTCATGGCTTGGTGAGGGAGTCAGGCAGACTCCCTATTTATTTCAGGAAGCACAATTCATGCAATATGCTAGTGATGAGTACAATGCAGGTTAAAAGTATGGAAAGGAGGGAGAGAGACATAGCCTCAGGGAGGGATACTTGCAGGGCATGTTGTAGGATGAGCAAGTACACACCAAGTAGGGGAAAATCAGGTTCCGTCCAGAAGGCATGAAACTCAGTGTAAAATTTTGGTTATGCAAGGTGTGAAGCTTCTAGAGACCTTCTGGTCAACACTGTCGTTAGAGTCATACAAATGTACATTACTCCAATACTGTACTGAACATTTAAAAATCTGTTAATAAAAAGGTAAAATCTTATATGTCTTTTTCACAATTAAAAAAGAAGGTTCTTTTTCAGTTGTGCATGTGCATTGTGCATGTGCAGCTACTCAGGTGGCTGAGGCAGAAAAAGTGATTGAACCCAGAAGTTCAAGACCAGCCTGGGAAACATAGCAAGACTCCATCTCTTAAAAAAATAGAAGGCGTGAAACAGTATGGCCTTTCTGCAACAGGACCTATGAGGAGACTAAGGAGCACACTGACACTGGGTTGATGGGCACAACAGGGAAAGGAAAAGAAGCTGGAGAATGGGAAAAGAGCCAGATCAGAATGTGCTCTGGAACCTATGTTTAGGTTTTTAACTTGTTAGGCAGTGAGGAGCCACAGAGAAAGAAGATCAGTGCTGCATTTTGGAACAACTCAGGTGGAAGTATGGGACACAGATGGGTGAAGGTAAGCATGAGGGCTGATAAACTCTGATGTAGTTCAGGGGAGACCAAAAAGCCTGCTAGGGCAATGAGGCAAGCCTGCAGGGGCAAGGCTGCCTTCTGAAACACTTAACACTGTACGGAGTTATTTGGTTAATTCATCTGTTTATTTCCCCACCAAAATATAAGTTTGCATCAGGGATGTGTCTTGCTCACAATTTTATTTCCACATCTAGAACACAGCCTTATACAGCAGAGGCTCTGTCAATACTTGCTAATTCACTGAACAAATCCCTGGAGGACAAGAATCCTGGTTAACTCTTACATGTATTCCTCAACACTTTCAGTGTAATGTTGTATTTAAAGAGGCTCAAAACTATGTGTTGATGAATTTTTTAAAGGCATACGCCCTGCCAGGCATGGTGGCATATACTTGTAATCCCAGCACTTGGGAGAGTGAGGCAGGAGCACTGCTGTGAGTTCGAGGCCAGCTTGATGGACTACACGGTGAATTCAAGGGCAGCCTGATCAGCACAGTGAGACTCTGTCTCAAAAAAAAAAAGGACTATGTCCTGACTTTTTCCAAATAACAACAAATTTTCTTGGTTGAAAGTCTGAAAAGAGAATTTTTCCTTGCACAACCCACCTGGATATCTAGCAACCCAGCTGGGTCCTTTTCTGTTTTGTAAGTCACTACTGGGAATAAAGTCTTGGCAATCAGAACCGAGCTGCTGGCTGTGCTGACAATGGTCAGGAAAGCCAGCAACACTATCGGCCTCCTATGTTGGTGAAAAGTATCCATTCATACCACAAGCAGGTAGTACACCACTCCTTTTGGCTGTAGTTACTGTCGGAGGTAAGTTAGCAGTCTGATGCTTCTTCACACTAATCCACAAACAGTGACTCTGGTGAAGAGTTCCCCACAGAGGATAAATAATTTAATTTCTCTGTTATGTCATAAACCAGTAAAAGGGCCACTTAATATTCTTCTGAAGTACATTACACCAAGCACAGCCATCAGCTGATCCATCCGTATAGTCTAACACAAATCCCTCAACTGCTAAAGTTTCAAGTCAGATGCCTACTCATAGGACTCTTCCAATAGCACATTTGTTTCAGAAAAGCATTCTGTATTTTCAAGAAACAGGGCCCTGATGGTGTCTCCACCCATGTCAATCAGGAATCCTTTCTTGGACATCCACACTACATCTGGCACACTGGGGCATAAGCACAAGCACAAATCCTGACTTCTACTGTGTGATTTTTAATGATTTAACCTTTCTCAAGCTCATAATCTCCTCTGCCTTAGAGGGTTCCAAAGAGATTAAATGAGGGAACACATAATGTGATAAATATGGTGCTTAGGACCCAAAGGCATTTAATGAATGCTAGTTTCTTCCCTTACCCTGAATAGGAGAGGGAGGTAAGGGAGGAGCCAGCTTGTATGAAGCAGGCCTCAAGGGGGTCTCATGCACAGGGAGAAGAAAGCAGTTTGCAGGAGAAAAGGTATAGAAACTGACAGCTAGCTGCTTCTGCCTCTTCTGTACTTGAGAAAGTTACAAAATGTGAGTGACAAGAAGCTGTCCCAAGTACATAAAGGAAACTAATCTGTTTGCAAAGGGAAGAAATAGAACAGGATGAAGATTATAAGTTGTTTGAAGCTTCTTCACTAATTACCACTCATAATGAAAATTTAATTGCCAAGTTAAAAGCAAATTTCACTTTTTCTGTCAGAGAATCTCCACAGAAACTGGCACATTTTGTTTGAACAGGAAATCAAAGTTACTTTAATGCTTAAATGAGATCTAAGAAGCTGCAGATGTTTCACTGGGAATAACAAGCTTCAAAACTCTGCCCTACTGGGTTGCAGCCACTCATGGCTACAGTGAGAAAGAAGATCTGTTTTGGGCTGATGCTTTGGTTTGGATAAAGTTTCTCCATTAAGGGTTCATGTGTTAGAAGCTTAGTCCCCAGAGCAGTGATACTGAGAGGTGGACCCAGTAAGTTCTTAGGTCACTGGGGCAGTGCCCTTGGAAAGGATTAACACGTTGCCACCAGTGGTACATGCATGACTGTCCCATTGAACAGCTTGTACCATTGGTGGTACAAACAGACCTAATCACTTTTATCAGTCATTTTACTAACAAGATTAATCAAAAGCTAACTCGATGGGCCAGTCATGCCTGTGCCACTGGTGGTGGTTCAAGCTGCCCAGCAGTGAGATATATGAATTATGGTCCTATTGTAAACGCATTCATTAATGTAGTTTTCGTGAGAGCCCTGGCTTAGTTCTTGGGAGAGGATTGTTATAAAGGAACAAGGCAGCCATGCCCTGGACTCCCTGGTTTTCCGTCTAGATGGGATCTCTTCCTCCCATAAGTGTTCTCACTATGATGTGATCTGCTGCTGTTAGGCCCTCACCAAAGGCCAAACCAATGATGCTATCTGATCATGGACTTTCAGCTTCTAAAACCATGAGCTAAATAAACCTTTTTTTTTTTCATAAGTAGCCTGCCTCAGGTATTTCATTATAGTAATGAAAAACTCACCAATATAAATGAGTAACCTAAAGAGGTAAAGGGGATTCAAATTCCAAACACCCCGCTGCTAGACCCTCTCACGGTGAGATGGAGAAAGTGGCAGAGAGAAGGTCTCTGCTATGGAGGAACTCCCAACAGAGTAGGAGACAGAAAACTAGGAAACATCTTGAGGTTAGTAAATGAAATTAAGAAATCTTTAGGGGCATGGAAGAATAGCAAGAAACAAAAGGTAACCCTCCTAAAAGTCTTTCATACCCTTGCTTCATTCTGACCCACATGAGTGTCAGCCAGAAAACTGCTCTCACCTGTAAGGTGCTGGTGAGGAAGTTGTCTTGGGAGACAATGTCCACAAAGAAGTCAGCTGGGATCTCACCAAGCTGGTGGTACAGGATGGAGATGAGGCTGATGTACAGGGTATGGTGCTTCACCATGGCTGCTTCTGACCGGCACAGAAGGTTTAGGAGCCGCTTCCAGTGCTCAAACGCCTCATACACATTGCCCAGCAAGAAACACACAAAGGCAAACTGGAGTTCACCTGAAAGTACAGGGAGGAGAAATGATCCCAAGGTTGAGGAGTATAGTACCAGCTGACTTTACCCTATACAGTTCACAGAGCCATCAATTCCACTGACCTCCAAAACAGATCAGTTATTCCAGCACAGCCTAGCATGTGATTTTGCACCTAGTAGGTGTTCAGCAAGTGTTTGCTGAAGTGCTATAAGTTCAAGCTAAGGAGACCAAACCATGGCTTTCAATTCTGCAGCATCAGATTGCAAGAAAACAGATATATCTAGTATTCACTCTGCATTTTACAAGTTTACAGAATGTATCTATTGATATGCCCAGTGGACCCTAACACTGGCTGCCCACTGGAATTACTAGACGAGCTCGTCAAAAGCAAAGCTGTCTAAGCCTCACCATCAGGGATTTTAGAGAAGAGCAAATGATCCCAGGTTTTTTAACTTTAACAGCTCCTCAGGTGATTCTGATACAGAAGACTGCTCCAGGGCAAGGGAAATGCTGCATTACACATTGTTCTCAGTTCAAATTCACAAAGTCATCAGGGATGGTAGTATTTCCCCATTTCACAGATGAGGCTTACTCAAGATTGTATATCTAAATCACAATGTAAATAGCCGAAAAGTAAAATAGATTCTTTATTGGCTGGTAAGACTTCTAGAGCCTCCTCTAATGGGAAAATTCATGAGTACTTACTTACTCCAGGGCTATCCTGAGGGCCAGCTTATTTTTGTTTATTTAATCAGAGATCTGTGATTTAATCTCTATAAGCAGCTTGACAGCTAAAAGCATGGGCTCTGGAACCAAACTGCCTGGATTCAAATCTTAGCTCTACTACTTAGCAACCGTGTGACCTTGGGCAAATTACTTAACCTATTTATATCTCAATTTCTCATATGAGAGTTATAGTAAAGATTAAATGAATTGATACAGTGCATGTAAAGCATTTAGAATACTCAGCACAAAGCAGCACTCAAAAATATTACGAACTATTCTCAATTTCCACTGGATGCCTGTCACAAAGAAGACTGATGAGCTGGAAGCCACTGCCCATGGGCATCAACTAGGTGCCACAGGTATCCTCTCTGGCTTCAAAGGAGGCTCTAAATATAATGAGGTATACGTATATGTGGACCATAAAAAGAACGAATTAGCATATCACCAAGTACCTCCTTAGTGCATTGCATTTGATCTGAGACCTCCAGGTATGTACAAAACCTAGCCTGTTCCAAGCTTGTGGAACCAAGACTGACTTGTGTGAATAGTCACCTGGTCTAGTCATCTTGGATATTTGACCAAAATTTCAAAGTACAGTCAAATTTTCTTTCTATAATGATTCACTTCTCCAGTTGGCAATTACCTGGCTAGTTTGGGAAACTAAACATTATCCCATTCTTTGCATTTAGGATACTTACTTAAACTTGGGTGTTTCTGACCGTTACAATTTGGACCCTGAATGTCTCCCAAAAGCTCATGTACTGAAGGTGTGGCCCCTAGCTAATAGTAAGACTGGGAGGTGATGAAACTTTAGAAGGTGGGGGCCAGCTGGGGGAAGTTAGTGTCACTGAGGGTGTACACGTGAGGGGACTACTGGGACACTGCCCCTTCCCCTCTCTTTGCTTCCTGACTGCCATGAGGTAAACAGCTTGACTCCATGACATGCTACCTGCCACAGTATTCTGCCTACCATGGGCCCAGAAATAATGAAGCTAAGTGATCACGGACTAAAACTTCTGAAACCACCAGCCAAAAAAACTTTACTCCTAATAAACTGATCTTCTCAGGTATTTTGTCACAGCAGTGGAAAGCTGATAACACACTTTTTCTAAAATTGAAATCACAAGATGTATTTTGAATAATTGCAAAATTTAAGAGTTAAAACAGAATTTTTATTCATTAAGTCAGAATTTCAAGTGCCGCTTACTACATCAAAATATGTACTATTAATGCATTAAGAGACACCCATTAAAATGTCCCTTATATCATCAGCTGAGCCAATGATATAAAAAAAACCCTGTATTCAAATATCCCACGAAACCTTCCAATACAAAAATACGCAAATTACCTGTATAGTTTATTTTAAAAAAAGGTGTATAAATAGCTATTAAAGACATGACAAATGTTTGCTGTTACTAGTACTAAAGAAATAGAAAGGAGATGCCAATTTTCAGCCATTTAATTGGAAAAGACCTTCCCTCAAACACAGTGCTTAGTGCTGTCAAAGGTGATGGGCAACAGCCTCCTCTCAGCAGCAAGGACGTAAAACTGTCTCCGAACAACCTACACACTCTGATACAACAATTCTAACCCTAAATGTACATGTAAGTACAGTACACACAAGGATGTTCAGGAGACCATATTTAAAACAGGAGGAAAAATAGGGACATGTTGAGTATTCATCAACAGAGAACCGGTGCAATAACTATGGGGCAGTCACTAAAAAGGGGTGATTATTTCAGTGACATGAGAAAACGTTTATATTTTAGTAGATTGCAAAGTAATGTACTTTAATACTTTATAAAAATCATATGTAGCTGGGTGTGGGGGTGCATGCCTGTAATCCCAGCCTTGGGAGGCTGATGCAAGAGGATCACTGTGAGTTCCAGGCCAGCCTGGGCTACACAGTGAGTTCAAGACCACCCTTAACTATATAGTGAGACCCTGTCTCAAAAAAAAGGTCATATATACAGTATACCTAAGCATATAAATGAACTCTTAAAAGACCAAAATGTATAGAAAAGAATGAGGTATAAAACATATATAGGGTAAAAAGGAAAGTAAATATACCAAAATGGCTGGGCAAAGTGGCCCATGCCTGCAATCCCAGCAATCCAGAGGCTGAGGCAGGAGGATCCTGCGAGTTTGAGGCCAGGCTGGGCTACAGAGTGAATTCAAAGCCAGCCTGAACTGCATAGTGAGATCACAGCTCAAAAAGACCAAACAAACAAACAAACAAATAAATAAAAACCCAAAATGTGAAAATTTGTAGGTGGTAGGATTTGGAGTGAATTTTAATTTTTTTCCTTCTATAGTGAATATCTATTATTTTGTACTAAGGAGGAAAAGCAACAGTAAAACTGTAACAATCAAAAATCATTATCCTGGTGTAAACTAGTAGAGAACAACATCTTAAGATTCTGGAGCAAACTGAGGGGGCAGGAGGAAAGTACTAGGAACACAGATCTAGCCTAGGACCAGGAGTCCTGGGCTCTTGTCTCAGTTCTACCACTGTGTGAGCCAAATCCTTTTCCTCAGTAGGGCTAGTCCCTATCCGTGGTTCCCAACCACAGGATTATATGCACTGGGCTTACCTAGGGTGCTTGATTATTGGACAGACAGCCAGACAAATTGCTGAAGCCCCACTACAGATATGACTCAATTTCCAGGGGTAAGGGTAAACAAGCATTAATATCTTTAACAAATATACTGGCTGAGTCTGCCTCCTAGCCAGATTTAGGAATCACTGGACTAGATAACCCAAGATGTACCCCCTACTCTAAAACACTCTACTACAAAAAAAAAAAAAAAAAAAAAAAAAAAAAAAAAAGAACAACAACAACAACCCCAATAACAACAAAAGAAAACACTTTACTAACATCATCCCTCTGGTCCACTCCCAAAGAGCCCCATCCCTTCTCACCAAGCACATCCTGGGGGTTGGTGGGGAACTGCTTGCTGAGTACAGTCTCCAGTGCATAGCTCAAGTCCATGCTGTGCCTTGTTATCTCTGCTGGTGTGGCACCTACTGGGAACATCTGTGTGGGTAGCTCTGAGAAGCGGATCTCTGTCCCAGCTCTGGGCTTCATCTCAGGCAGCCGGGCTAGGCCCTCTTGATAACTTTTGCACTCGGTGCCACACTGGGGTAGATTCTGCCCCACCCGGTCCTTGGTGTACTTCATGGAGAGTACCGGCAGCACATCTGAGAAGGCACAGATCTGCCGGCTTTCAGGCTGCAGCCTCTCCATTGTGGCCTCACTGACAAAGTTGGTGAGTGAGATCCATTTCTTGAGTGTGGCATATGGGTACGGTCCCAGAAACGGGTCCAGCTCCTGGAGATTGGCCCTCATAGCTTCCACTTCAGCCTTTGGGGCTGGGGACAAGTCTACCTCTTCCTGGAGAGCATTCCAGCGCAGGACTGTCAGCCCTCGCTGCTGCAAGCTAAGGAAGAAGCCCATACGAGGACCCACATCCCTGGGATTGGCTTTGTCCACAGAACTATAGTGAAGAAAGTGAATGCCCGGCGGGATCATCTTCACACCCCGGAACTTGGGCCCTACCTCCCAGGAATTATAGTCAATGCCAAATTCTGTCCCCTTGGGCATATTCAGGATGACCACAGTGGCCCCTTCAAAGAAAAGTTGCTTGGCTAGGTCAGGATCCATCTGCATGGCAGCCATGGGGCCAATGGTGGGAAACCAAAAGGAGAACTCTTCTTGTCTTTTGACAAAGCTGAAAAAGAAAAAAATGAGTTAATCTGAAGCTGAGCATAGTGGTGCATGCCTGTAATTCCAACACTCCAGGAGGCTGAGGTAGGAAAGATTCAATTTGAGCCTAGCCTGGTGACTCAATGAGACCCTCTCAAAAAAACAAAAACAGGCTGGGCATGGGGGCACATGCTGGTAATCCTAGTACTTGGGAGGCTGAGGCAGGAGGATCACTGAGTTCAAGGCCAGCCTAGGCTACAAAATGAGTTGAAGGTCAGCCTGAATTGCACAGTGAAACCCTGTCTCAAAAAAACCAAAACCAAAACCAAACAAACATACATGCTGGAAATGTAGCTCACCCTGGGCTCAGTCTTTAGTACCAATTAATTAATTAATTAAATCAGAATTTGGGGAAGGTTGCTGCATTTGCTGAGCATTCTCTATATGCCAGATATTGAGTCAGACCCCCTGACATTATTATCCCTCTTAATCCTCATGACAATCCTGTATCGGTTTTATAAATGAGAAAAATGAGGATCAGAGAAGAGAGAAATTTTTTGTTTTGATTTAAGGAGCAAGACCACTCACTTCACAGCTAGAAAGGCACCAGTTAAATACAAGTGATAAGCACAAAGTCACACAAGACCCAAATTCAAGTATGCGTTCCCGTCGCTGCATGTCAGTGTTCTCGCTGTTGTTCCCCCTTAGGTTCCACTCCCAGATGTCTCTCACAACAGAGGACGAGGGTGGAAAAGTCTGCATTGTTCATTCTAAATGATAACTACGCCAAAATCGTCCAAAGCTACAGTTCTGCCTAAAACCTATCACTGGACAGTCCTAGAAAATTTGGAAAGGATGATTAAATCAAACATATGTCCAGTTTTCCATCAGCATCTAAAATTCACAAGTTTGAGAAGTGAAAAGCTTTTCAACCACAAATCTCCCTTCTTTTATGAAAAACAACTTCCAGAAGTGAAACAGATTCCCAAATAGCCACAATCATTGGCAGTTCTGGACCTTTTACCTGGAATGAACTCGTGGCAGGGCTCACCTAGGATCAGTACTTAAAGGAGAAAGACCTTAGAACACTTATTTTGCCAACCTCTCAACTTCCCAAGGAGGAACACTGATAACTTCTGCACGCAGACACTGCCTCAGTTGGTATTTGTAAGAATGGTTATAATATGCCTTCGTTTAAACCAATCAATGACCTTACCTAATCCTCAGACACCTGTTTATTCAATTCCACAAACAGTCACCGAGTTCTACACTATAATCTTTGCTGGTTTTCTAAAGAAACATCCAGTTGGGTATGGTGGTACAACCTCAGGAGGCTGAGGCAGGAGGATCACTGTGAGTTTGAGGCCGGCTTGGGCTACAAAGTGAGTTCAAGGCCAGCCTGAATTGCATAGCAAAACCCTGTCTCAAAAAGACAGGAAAAAAAAGAAAAGAAAGGAAAAGAGAAGAAAAGAAAAGAAGGGGCTGGGGATTTAGCTCAGCGGCAAAGCACCTGCCTGGCAAGTGCAAGGTTGTGAGTTCGGTTCGGTACCGGAGAAAAACCAAAAAACAAAAAAACAAAAAACCAAAAACGAAAAGAAAAGAAAAAAGAAAAGAAACATCCACAGAGTAAGACAGTTATTGCTCTTCAGACATTTTCAACCTAGCTACATAAATAAGGACTCAAAATTTCACAAACAGAATAACCAATTGTTTAATTCTGTTTATTCTTCTTTTAACAAACTAAACTGTGGAAAGACTAATACTTTTTCAAAAATGTTAGGAGCATATTTTATCATTTTTAGTCAAAATCACTATAAGTGACTCCCTAAATTAAACTGCAAATTACAACTTATTAATGGGTTAAGGAATCAACTTAGAAGGTTCTGACCAGGATTACTTCTTTTACATGAAAATAACGTAATTTTAAAAATATCAGAACATGTCACAAATAATAAGAATTTCTGTTGTTGCTTGTATTGTTTTTGTGGCACTGAGGATTTGAACCAGGACCTCATACATGCTAGGTAAGTTCCCTACCCCGGGGCTACACTCCCATCTCAGACATAAGTATTATTTCTGAAGCTCTGTTTGTTTGTACGTACATTTGGTCATAACATAAGATGTATGTTACTGTAGGTAACAGTCCAAAAAGTTTAAAGATATTACTCTAAATATTTGTATCTTCTATTGGGAAGTAGGAAGAACATGTTCAAATGGGAAAGGGAACAAGGGGGCGGGGAGGAAAGAAGGGAAAAGAAAAAAGAAGGGAAGGAAAAACATGGCAACGAAGCTTGTGTAAATGGAGAGGGGAAGAAGGGTTGAAGGGAAGGGAGGGGAATGGGGAAAGAAAGAACAAGATATATTATGGATAGGTAGAAATTCTCTATGATGAATGTGATCAGTATGTATGACAAATACGAACTAATACAAAATAAATTAAATACTTGTATCTTCTTCCTATACATCACTTGGAATTCAGAGAGTACTGAGTAAATATATTTGCTAAATGAACAGAAATTCCATATAGACTAACTGCTCATCAATTAACCATCTTCCCTGGTAGTGTTGCTCTTTGGTATTTCTTTAATTCTAATTCTACCACCTTTCAGTTCTTTTCACTGCATATCCAGTAGCTGGTACACGGCCTGACACTAGAAGAGGCTGGAAAAAGGTTTACTCAAAGTGTGCAGGACTCGGCACTGTACCAACCTACCTCACCTACTGCTGAGTTCCTCAGTCCTGGAACAAAGAAAGTCAAATCTAATCACACACTCCACCACCTCCCCAATCCAAACTACCATCATCCCTCTGGAAAGTGTGGCCCTTTAATCCACTCTCTAGCCAACAGCCAGAATGACCTTTACGAAATGCCAAGCTAATCACGGCGTCACCCGCACGTAACACCCGAGTGGCTTCCAATGTGGCTCTAGGGAAACCAAAATTCTTCTCATGATCTAAGTTTTCATGGTCCAGCTCTCCCAAGTCCTTCAAGCTTATTTCACACCATGCTCCCCGACCCCCAAGCTCTGTGCCAGCCACACTGGCCTCTCTTAGGCCCTCAGACTGGGGAGAACTCTTCCCACCACATCCTGTTAAACCATTTCTCTGACCTCAGCTCAATATTCACCTCCCCAGTCAAGCTTCCTTGAACTCTGTGATACACTCCGCGTCGGTACCTTGTACTTTTCCACTTTAATCACACGGTTACAATTTTGCATGCTTGATTGAAGTTTGCCACCAAGAAATTTGAGTCCTTCTGGATCCCTAGCACATATCAGACGCTTAGTAAACTTCTGGTTAATAAAAATATAACGAGCATTTTGTAGATGAGAAACAAAGACTCGGCTTGTAAGACGAGTCCCGCAGAAAACAAGGGCCCGAGCTCTACAATTTTGGGAGGGAGGGAGGAGGGGGACACTACTCCGTGTGCCTCGGGAAGCCTGGCGACACTGTCTCTGGCGAAGTTTTTCCCCCTCAGAGAGAAAAGCCTCCAGACACACCAGCGTCCCGCTACCCGAGCCCAGACCTACGTGCTGCGTCCCAGCAACAGGGGCTTAGTTCAGGGCACTGCGCAATTCCAACCCAAGAAGAGGGGTGGCCACACACACCACACATGCACACACACCGCACACGCACATGCGAAACGAAATCAGAGGAGAAAAAAAGAGGCCAGTAGGCCGTGCTCACCTCCTTGCGCCTCACCTCCTTACCACGGAAACAGGCCGGAAGTTCTGCCCCTTTCGCGCCGGATGGGAGCAACAGAAAAAGAGCTCCGGCGGAGACCGCGGAGACCTCGGTCACGGAAGGAAAGATCCGGGCCTATTAGTCCCGCTGGGTTAATTGCTGCTGCTATTAGTTTCTCATATTACTTCCTGAGTTGTGGGAAACAACTTTATTTAAACTATTCCTTTTATAGTCCCTTCCAAAAACCTATTCACCAGCCACTGTCTTTTGGTCTCAAGCTTTCATAGGTCATTGAAACATGGCACACATCATGGCTACCCAATATTCACAGTCAGGTTCTTAATCTTGGTCTTCCTCTGCCAGTCTCTAAGTCACAGTGTCAGAGTTGTCCCTTTATCACCAAATTGTAGCTTTCTAGTCACGCTCAAATCTTGGTGAAAGCCTCCAAAAGCCGGTTCCCGGCCCAGAGAGGACCAATGGATCTCAACAGCAAGATCATCAGTTCCTCTGGCCATGAGCACCCAATGTCCTAATATACCCCAAGGTGAGGGGAAACTGTCTTATTCCACATTGTTACCCTGAAACCTAGCACAAAACCATCTCAGGGCATATGTTACACATTCAGTTAGTGATAGTAATATGGTATTCACAAATAGCTTCTAATTGTGGGCCTAGCCCTGCGCTAGGTGGTTGTATTAAGGGCAGTTACATTTAGATAGAAATTAATATACAGTCAGAAAGAACTGGGCTGTCAAGGAAGTTAGCGGAAAAAATGAAGACTTCAGAATTCTGGCTGGAGGCACATCTGAAGAAAAGGTTTCAAGATAAAAATGCAATGACCAGCCCTACATGCTTCCCCTAAGGGATAAGCTGTAACTTGAAATTATACTATAATTGGTATCATCTGGTCCAATAAAGTCCAAATAAGCATCAGTTGCCCAGCTGGGTACCCAGAGCATCCGGGCCTATCTCTTCCCCAAAATGCCTTTGTTCTTTCCATGTACCCTTGCTACATGACCCGCTTCCCTATTGGACCAATATTAGCTAAGCAGCTATACTTGTAATCTTATAGGTTGATCATAGTTTTGACCCACATTTGTACCCATCCCCTGATTTTGCTCTATAAAACTGTCTCAGAAAAGTGGGCTGTGGTAACTCACTTTCAGGTCCCCTCCTCTTTCAGAAGCCACCTCTCTCAATGTATATTCCCTTTTCTTAACCTCTGTTGTTCCTTAGAATTAATTTTTCAATTTCGGGGAACATGAACTTGACATCTGACATCTAGCAGATTGAGAGTTACACTGTTTCCCTACAGCAGTTGTATCAGTCAGGGTACCACCAAAGAAGCAGAGAGATACATTAAGTAATTTATTTGAAGGAATTATCTCAGATTGTTGTGAGGGCTGGATATGAAACCAAGAAGTTGAGATAGATCTTTAAAAATTAGGATTTTTGGAGCTGTGCATGGTGCTACATGCGTGTCATCTTGGGAGGCTGAGGCGGGCCATGAGTTCAAGGCCAGCCTGGGCTACACAGTGATTTTGTCAAGGCCAGCCTGCACAAAAAGCAAGACTGTCTCAAAAAAATAAAATAAAATAAAATGGAAAGTGTGGTATATGTATGTACCTCAGATAATCCAAAGGATGAATTTAGGTTTTACATAGATTATGGTTATTAATTTTCACATTTGTGCATTTATTTTTATGAAGATCTTTTTGGCAAATGACACTAAGTTTTCACATATGAAAGCAATATTGTTTCCTTTTCAAATATTTTTTCTTAAAATGAGTTAGTTATAAGGAAAATAAATCAATAATGGGAGAGATGATATAAGCAACATAAATAAAGACTGTGGGCAAAGACTAGTCTCACAGAGAATAAGGGCCCATGCTCTACAATATGGGGAGGGAGGAAGGGGACACTACTCCCTGTACCTTGGGAGGCCCTGGTGACACTGTCTCTGGTAAATTTTTTTTCCCTCTTCAGACAGAAAAGCCTCCAGACACATCAACGTCCCACTACCGGACCCCAGAACTTTCCTTCCATGATTGACGTCTCCAGCAGAGTAATGCAGGTGCTCTTCTTTCAGGAAAAGGAGGGACCATGCTGTTCCTCCACATACCATGACTCTCCAGGTATGTTTACTGTCTTCCTCTGCCTAGAACATTTTCTTCCTTACTTGATTATTTTCATGTAGCTCAAAAACCAACTCCTTAGGGAATCCCTAGGTAGCCACCTGTTTATCTTTGTGGTGCTAGGGCTCAAACCCAGGGCTAAGAGTGCACTGTACCATTAATCTATCTTTAGCCCTAGCTGCCTTGTTTAAAGGGAGTCCTTCAGTGGCCCTTCCCCGCTACTCCTGTATTTCCTTCCTGGTGCTGATCACTCTGTAATTGTCTTTGACCACTAGCCTGCGAACTCCTGGATGGCAAAGACTTTGTCGTTTGCTGCTGTACCTCCAGAGCCTAAGGCAAGGCCTGAGCCACACTGGGAGCTCCAGACATGTGTTGAATAAGTGTTCTGAGTTGAGATGTCTCCACACCAGTGTCAGCCTGCCCCGCCGTGCCAGCTTGTGCCAGTAGCCAAAGACAGAGGAGGGAGAGAGAGGGAAGCCAAGGAAGTCTGTGGTTCAGCATCAAACACATTTATTTCACTTTTATTGAGTATACAAGAACAGAGAGCACACGCATACAGCACAGAGCACTGAGGTGGGGGGAGCAGGGGGCAAGAGAAGAGAAAGGGGTGTGAGTAAAAAGGAACAGGACAGCATTGCAGTTGGTTGGTAAAGTGCTTTTGAAAAAAATTATTTAGAGTGATGTTGCTCATGCAATTTCAGGCCAGTCTTGGAATGTGCTTGCAGGATTCAAAAACAGAAACAGGTCTTGGCACTTCCTGTACTCTCAGATGGAAAAGATCCAGAAAAAGCGAAATGAGAACAAATAAAGGTCTGTAAGATGGCAGAGTGGAAAAAACCCTGGAGAGCTTCGAGTTTACACCACTCATTTTGCAAGTGGGGAAACTGAGGCTCCAAAAGGGAATGCGGCTAGCCCAATGTCACATGATGAGTTAGGGGCTGAGCCAGGATGGTTTCTCAGAATCCTGACTGCTCTCTGGGACTTTTCCCACTATATTACCTGGCCTCTTGGATGTAGAGGTGGCACAGAGAGGACGAGAAAGTGGCAAAAAGAAAAAAAAGGAAAATAGGTTGAAGACAGATGAGACAAACAGTTCTATTCCCTATGGAGAGGAGGAGGAGGAGGAAACAGTGTCCTAGATTTTAGCTTTGCAGGCCCCTCCTCCCTGGTGGTGCTGCCTGCCTCTCCGTGGAAGGAAAGTCAGAGCATCTATGGGATGGGGACCTCCCCAAACTCAGGTGACCCACAAGCTAAACTTGGTCACATCAACCCTGCCCTGTCAGCAGATGGAAACCCCCAAACAGAGTCTCCCTCTGAGGTGTGTCTAGTATGCTTGGGACACCTGGTTCCTGCAAAAACAGGGGGACCTGAGCTGAATTCCGCGTAGCCCAGAAATGGAGCCACTCCAGCTCCTGGTCCAGAAAAAGTGGGAGGTTTTTTGAGAAGGGCAAGAAAGAAGTTCAGAGGCTTCCCCACCAAGACTGCAGAGAGAACCTGGTACAGGAAAGTGTGCTGCTGTACTTGGGGAGTGCAGTGGTTCTGCTGGCCGGCACTGAGGGGACGTGGCTGACTCTGCCATCTGAGAGCCTCGCTGTACTTCCCATTTGCCTGCAGAGGTAGAAGCTATTCTAGTTTCTTGCCCTGCTTCAGGCCAGCACCAGCTAAGTAGCTAAGTTATATGTCATATGGGAACAGATGAACAAGCCACAGCGGGTGCATATAGCCTGGGCCCTCTGGGGGACATCCCTAGGCAATAACCAATAGGTTGGAGGGAGAGGGGAAATGCGCTCAGATGAGCCAGCCACGGTTGGGAATTTAAGGCTGGTCAGGTGGTTTCCTGGGTCCCTCCTCCCCCTTCACACTTTCTTCTTCCGCCTGAGAACAGTGCCTGGCATGAGTGGGTACTCAATAAATATTTCTTGAATAAATTTATCCACTGGGAGGTGAAAAAGAGGCTGAAAAATTAAAGCACTGTGGGACATTTTCCCTTAGCAAGGGACACTTCCTGAGCTCAGGGAAGTGGCTTGTGGCCAGTAAGCCTGAGGAAGCTCACATGTGCCAGAGGGCAATGCCAAGCACGTGACAGGGTTTCTCCAAGGGCTCCTGAGGTCTTGAGGCGATCTGGGGGACTCCAAGAACACGGGCTCCACGCTCAGCACTGACTAAAGAAGGCTGCCAAGTCAGAGCTTCTGGCAACACTGTCTTCCCTGTCTGTTGTCCTGCGGTAGGTGAAGCCTTTGGAAATGCAGTTTTGATCTGTCAGGGGCTACCCTGGGTTCACGGCCTTTTCGGCCCAGAAAGAACAGAATGACTCAGACTATGGAAGAGGAGGACGAGAGGACTCAGCTGGGCATTTCCAAAGAGCCACATTAAAGCCACTACCTTCTAGAGCCAGGTGGTTCCCTTGGCCAGGGCACCACCTCCCTTTGGGGGTGGTGCTGCTCAGGGTCAGGGAATGACAGTGTGGTCAGGGAAGGGCAAGACATGGCAAAAAAATAAAATAAGGTAAAATAAAACAAAAAAAGAGAAGACTGCAAACCAAGGCAAGCCCCCTAGGGAGGTAGGAGGACTGAGACAGGGGACCTCTACTGTGGGGACTCAGCAGCAGAGTCCTGACTCCGGACCCCAGGTCCTAGCACAGACCAGGCCCGGCTGCTACTGCTGGGGAGAAGGCATCTTGGACCAGCATATTCAGGACTATGTCTGTGTTGCTCCCTCTTGCTTAACCCCTGCCTCCACTGGGCGGGCCCTACTCTTCCCACCAACCACCCAATTACAAACACCACACACAGTATTACTACGCTGAACCCGTCTGCCCCTACTGGGAGCCAGCCACCCCTGGAGTTCAGGTCTCCTCAGCTGGGCCAGTTCAGCAAGATCTAGGAACCTTGGGATACATCAATCACAGTCTGATAATTATAATTTTAAAATGTCAGCTTCATACTTACCAGCACTGTTTATTTTAATATTTGTTTCCTGTTATATGTAATATACATAACTTAAAAGCACATCCATACAAATCTCCTATGAGCTGCACCTTCATCATGAGAAACCAGACACATACAATGTCTACTTCCCTTCCTGTGGCTTTGTTTTCTGTTCCTGCTTTCTTTCCTTTTTCTCAGTTCAAATGAGAGTCATCTGCAGGGGCCCTCAGCAGGACCAGGACACAGACTGGGAGGGGTGTGGACAGGGCAGGAGGAGGAGGGAGCTGAGACAGAAAATGACGAGGCATGTGGGAGCTGAGGTGAGGGAGGGTGCAAGAAAAGAAGGGGGATTTTGCAGCCCAGTGTCAAGACCCAGAAAATAATAATCCAGTGTTCCTCCTCCTCCTTTCCAAGTGGGAGATTTTTCCTTTCTTTCTCAGAAAATGGTTGACTGTGCGTGTCTTGCTGCTGTGACTTCTCTTGCTTGGCTGCACCACCATTTTCCTTTGCATTCAAGGGGGCAACAGGTACTGGAGAAGAGCAAATGGGATGTTCGTCCACCCACCAGACCGCGTGCACCCAGCGTTGAACGGTGCTCCTACAATCGTTGTGGTCTGGCTTGCTTTTGTGGTTTGGCAGGGGAAAGGGACAAACAAGGGATTATGGTCGTTATCACTTTTTTTTTCCTGAAAAGTCCCACCAATTCTTCAATTTTTCTGCAAAGGAAATGTAGGTTGCTGTAGATGTTGGTTGTTGCTGTTGGCCAACTGCTCCGCCAGCCCCAGCAGCAGTGCAGAACGCGGTGTTTCCTGTATATATATCTATATCTATATATATCTATGTATATATGCTTTTCCCTTCCCAGTCTCTCATGAATGACAGTACGTTGCAGCTGGGACATCAGTGTTGGCATTGGAGAATCCAGAATGAAGGCCCCTTCTTAATGGTTCTCTGGCTTGGGTTGGACCAGACATGCCAGCATCTCTGCACGGAGGTCAGGATTCCTAGAGGCCAGAGGCAATGGAGTTGGGGATGCAAAGGCAGCAGGAGGAAAAGAACAATTAGTAACTTTTGTCACCCACCTTTAACTACACAGAAAGTTCTTTTACCCACCCTTTACTGTATGCCCTTTATTGTGACTCAGAGAGGCAGTGACTTTCCAAGGCCACACAGCGTTGTGTGTGACAAATGAAAACTGACCCATGTCTCCCTGCCTCAGAGTTCACATGAGTTTGCTTGCTTGTTTCCAGGGAAGGGGTGCCTTTTACTTTGGCCTGAAATTCATTACAGTGTCCTTTAATGATGAGAATCTAAGGTCACTATCATTTCCCTTTTTCTTCCTATCTTTTCTCAGTTCTATAAAATGTTTAATTATGATTGTAGATGTTCTGTCTTCACTTGTTTTTCCTTTCTGTTCTCCAGGGGTCTACTGTGGCTTGCAGATTAAACCCTAGACAGCAGTGTCTAAAAAAAGTGGAGCCTGGATTTCAGTTCAGGTCTAACTTCCAAACTCAGAGTTTAATGGTGTGGGCTCTGCAGTCAGAATCCCTGAGTTCAAATCTCACTCCCTGGCCTGCTAGCTCTGTAAGTGTGGATGAGCTTTTTCACCCCTCTAAACCCCAGTGGCTTCCTCTGTCAAACGGGTTCTGCCGTACACAGTTAAGAGAGGGATCACAGCAAAGCACCTAGTATACAGTAAGTGCTGAATAATGTTCTTATTATTACTACCATTGTTGCTGCTGTTACTTTAACTACAGCCCGTGTCCTGATCCCCCAAAGGGCAAAGGCTACCTGCTTTCCTTACCACTGTCATTCCAGCGCTCAGCGTATGGAATGTCATTCTTGCCTCTTGCCACTCACATATGGTCAAACTGAAGCCCAGAGGGTTCAATGATTTAGCAAGTTGATGGCAGAACCAACACTAGAATCTAAGGTTCCTGTTTTGGAACAGGTCAGTTTCCCCTCCTGTAGTTACAAGTTTGAAATTAAGGAAGCTCCAGGAAGCCGAACAAGCGCCCTCTTGCTGGCAGTGTCTGGGAGACAAGGCCTCTCTGTAGGAGCCGGGCTAGAGATGAACAGGGAACAGAAACTACACGCGTAGCCTAAGAGGTCACAGGGGAGACGGAAAAGCCTTTCTGAGATGGGCATGTTTTCCACACTTATGGCAAGAACTTCGAAGAGAAAGCAGTTTAAGAAGGAAGGCCAAGAGCCAACTGGAGCAGGGACAGATACCTCTGGAGGCCGCAGCGATAGAAGAGGAAGAGCAGCAAGGTGGGACACGCTCCTAGAAAGGTCCTCAGGCACCACGGTGGTGGTGAAGTCTATAGCTTGACTTACTCGGGGCTTTCATTGCCCCTTAAATAGGGCAAAACCTCAGTGGGCCAAGGAAGCAGCTGTACCCTGCTGAGCCTCTTCTCCGTATTATTTAATTATTAGAGCAGCTCCTATTTATAGATGAACACCATTTTACTAGAGAGGAAACTGAGGCCCAGAAAGGTTCCTCTGACCACACAGTTATGTAGGTATTCCTGGCTCCACAGCCTGGGTGTACTTTTTTCTACTCAGTTCTGCTACACCTTAACTGGGTATTTTTTTCCCCTTACATTGCCAGGATACAAGTTTGCTCACTGACATTGGTGGCCATCCTGTAAATCAGTGTAATCAGGCTTCTGGGTATGTGAGATATCTCTACAAGACCACAGACACTTCAGAAGCACCAGGGGGGATCTGAACAATACTGTAGTACAGTTTACTTTTCTCAGTTTACTATAGCAGAGACCCTCCAGGCAATATTTATTAGTTGACTTCAAGTTCACGGGCATAGTATTCTTTCTTTCTTTTTTTTTTTTTTTTTTTTTTTTTGGTCTTTTTGAGACAGGGTCTTGCTATGCAGTTCAGGCTGGCCTTAAGCTCACTTTGTAGCCCAGGCTGGTCTTGAACTTGCAACAATCCTCCTGCCTCAGCCTCCTGAGTGCTGGGATTACAGGCATGTACCACCACGCCCAGTAGTCATAATATTCATAAAGAACTATTATTGAGCACATTCTATGTGCCAGGAATATATGCATGATCTGTTAACCCTATGACATAGTCAGTGTGGTGAGGAGGTTATAGCCCATTAGGTACTTCTGGAGTCTAACAGATTAGGTTTGACCCTAATCCATCCATCACGGTCTCTGAGCCTAGTTTCTTCATTTGAAAAACAAATGAGCAGAAAACCATACCTATGTTAAGGGCATTGCCTGGTGCCTGGCATGGTATAAGCACTCCATAAACAATGGCAATCATTGTTACGAGGATTATCACTGCCATCTGGAGGATGAAGAAACACTTCCTGAAAATGGTAAATAACTTGCTCAAGGTCGTGTGGGTAGTGAAGAGCAGGATTTGAGACTGGAATTCAGGTGTGCAGCTCCACAGAGCTCTTCTGTAGGATTCCAACCTGCAGGTATCTGCTAAGCCAATGTCTTTTAAGCACTTTAAGAAGGAGTTTTCTAATTCAGAGAGGACTTCTCCCTAGAATTAGCAGGTGTGACTCTACTAAAGAGTCGGGGTGGCTCCTACATGGCAGTAACTCATGGTAAAGCTGTGGTAGAAAAGGCAAGGGAGAGACTGCTGGCTCTCCAGGCTGACCTTTATAGAACGGCCCAGAACAGAGGGGGAGCATGGTAGCATGTAGGGAGCAATGGCATCAAAGAAAAGATTGAAGAGGAGTAAATGCAACAGCAAAGGGGACAATGAGAAGGAGGACTCGAAAACCTGCGAGGCAGTGGGGTGGGCGAAGGGGTGGCTGGGATGAACACGTCCACACCCAGGGAAATTGGAAGGTGGGACCTGGCTGTGAATGCCTGGGGAAGGCGAGGAGGAGTGAGGAAGGAAACAGAGAAGAGAAACACACCACGGCACCCCTTTAAAAATGAGGAACGTGAGTTCCCACGAGGGAGGAAACGTGGTCACACACCAGTGGAATGGCTGTAGAGTCAGGTCCCTGTTCCTAGTACAGAGCTGTTAGTACCAGTGACTCCTATACCTGGCCACATAGGAACTCCCTGAGGACCAAAGAGTAAATGAACGGTCCCAGGAGATAGATTCCAGCCCAGCTTTTCCAAATCAGACTATGATGACAGTTCTTCATAGTATCTTCATTGTATTTTTATTATTATTAATATATTTATTATTAAAATAGGGATACAAAGCTTTATTTCACTTTTCATTACCTACTGGGCATCTGTAGGTCCAAGGGATGATTCTGGCTTTTTAGCAAAAGCAACTTTTATGTCCTTGCCTAGTACCTACATTAGCTTCCCTCGGTGGTGCAGCCAGCTCTGGGTCAGCTTAGCAAGTGACCACCTGCTACCATGCTGAGATTTGGTGTGTGTGTGGGAAAGTGAGAATAACTGGCTTACTGAGGGGACAGGGGTGACAAGAGCTGGCATCAAAGTCTGAGCAAGGCTGACAGAAAAGCCCCACATGTAGCCAACTTACACTTCTAGTTCAGTATAGGATCAATAGGGACTCTGTGTGTGTGTGTGTGTGTGTGTGTGTGTGTGTGTGTGTAAAACAGCCCACTATATCTATTCCCATCTCAACATGTCATCAATATAAATATTACTGAGATAGTCTATATTCTTTTTTTGTGTATGTGTAGAACTAGGGATTGAACCCAAGGGACACTGACCTATATCCCCACCAATCTTCATTTTATTTCGAGATGGGGTATTGCTAAATTGCTCAGGCTGGCTTCAAGCTTGTGATCCTCCTGCCTAGGCCTCCCAAATAGGTGGGATTACAGGTGTGAACAAGCACACCCAACTATTTACATTCTTTTTTTTTCCACATTAAATCCTCAAAATTCCTGCATGTATTCTACCCTTAAAGCATATCTTTTTTTTTTTTTTTTTTTTTTTTTGAGACAGGGTCTCCTTATGCAGTTCAGGCTGGCCTTGAGCTCACTTTGTAGCCCAGACTGGTCTTGAACTCGCAACGATCCTCCTGCCTTAGCCTACCGAGTGCTGGGATTACAGGCATGCGTCACCATGCCCAGCCACATCTCATTTTGAATTAGCTAATTTCAAATATGGCTCACTAGCCATATTGGATAGTTACTATATTGGATAGCACAGAAAAAACATTTTCATCATTGCAGAAAGTTCTACTGGACAGGACTGGCCTAGACCTTGTGTCATCAGTCTTTCAAAGTGGCACGAAAATGTCACAGTACTTTTTCTTCTAACATTAAGGAGGTAGCAATCAAAGGAAGAGAAAGAAACATTTGCATATCTTTCTAGAAAAGATGGATTTCATTTAAGGAAAAGGTCCAACAGAGACCAGTTTCATTGCTGTTTTGGTACTGGGAATCAAAACCAGTGCCTTCGCACTGAACTATATCCCTAGCTCGTCTGCATTTTTTATTTTGAAACAAGGTCTCATTAGGTCACTAAGCTGCCCAGGCTGGGCTTAAACTTATGATCCTCTTGCCTCAGCCTCCCAAAGTGCTAAAGACTAGATATTATTTATAGGGCCTTTGAGATGGAATTTTTTTTTCACTGTAGTATATAGTATGTGAAATGTGTAAAGTGGACAAATCTAAGTGTTAATGAGAACTTGACATTTTTGTCTTTGTTTTTACTTTGTTTGTTTGGCCAGAGAGGTCATGGATGACTCCCCCTGTGCCCCTCAATCCCAACTGTCAGCTTGTTTTTCTTCAGCTTCATGATTCATTTTTCTGGGTCTGAGGCCTGAAACCTCAAAGAACGCTCTTCCCTCTGACTCGTGTCTGGGGGAGCTGCCTCTCCCTTGCACTGCAGAGGCGGCTGAAGCCGCACTATGTATCAAGCCACTTGGATTTTCAGGTGGACACGATCCTCTAAGAATCTTGCTACTGCCTCCTCCTTCCTGTCACCACTGCTGAGCTTCAGAGCCTCACCTGTGGCTTCTTGTCCCTCTCCTCCGGGGATGGATCTGTTTCTCTGTATACGACAGCTTTGGTTACCAGCATGTCAGGGTGCTGCAGTTTGGCCTCCTTGATGGCCAAAGCCAGGGCCTGTTGGATAGAACAGCAAAGTGAGGCAGCATGGAACAGAGACTATGAGAGAAATGAGACCACAAACCCCTCAGTGCACAACCCGGGGAAAAGGCCCCCGGGGACGGGAAAGTCAGTCAGTTAGAGGGAAAAACTAGAGCTCAGATCTTCTGGCCCCTTCCGGCTCCATTCAGTGCTGTTTTCTTGGAAGATCCTTATCTGAACAGGGTCAGTGCGAAGTAGACATCTCTGCCCAGGGGTCCATGGATCCTCCCCATACCTGGTCTTGATCAACATCTTCGTCTCCAGTGATGATGATTCGCTTCTCGATCCTTGTCTCAGAAAACCCTCCCTTCACAGTCTGCAGAAAGAGAGAGGGGGAGAAGGAGAGGGAAGGGGAGGGAGGTCACTCTTGGATCTGCTGGGGCAGCAACTTCAACAGGGGATCTATCCAAAGCATCTCATAAGGACTGGGAACCTGCAGTTCCCGCCCATCCTGGCTTCCTAAGTTTGTTCTACTTTTGGAACTTCAGACAGTAGATCTGGTCTGGTTGCTACCATTCCCCCAGCTACTTAACTGTCCCATGTCCATGTTCCAAGTCCAGCTCAGATGCTGCCTCTCTAATCCTGGCTAGAAGGCCTCAAGGCCGTCCTGCCTTGGCACTCCGTAAGCCCCGAATCTGTATCTTTCACTGTTCCAGACCTCTGCCTGGTGCTGCACGTGTGTGTGTGTGTGTGTGTGTGTGTGTGTGTGTGTGTGTGTACTCTGCCCTGCTCACCTCACCAGGCTGTGGGCTTCTGAGGGCAGGGCCCGTATTTCATTACCCCTGCATCCCCTCCTCCCTACCGCCTTGCCCAATCTGACCAGGGAAGTGCTGAATGCAGATTTGTTGAATGAACACATGAATGAAATGTGAATGGTGACAAGGTTCTACCTTACATGATTTAGAACAATACTACAAGAGAAGATTGTACTGATGATATTTATTACTTCCACTGTTTGCTAAGCGGGTAGGATTTAGGAGAAAAGTTCAGAAGTAAAAGATGGGGCAGGATCTCACTGTTTGACATATTTAAGTAGAGTGTGGCTGAAGGAAATCTTAGCTGGAGTCAAGCAATGGTGGACAAAAAGAAGAGGGGGCACCCAGGTAGTAGGGCCAAGAGGGACTTTGGGAAGGAGAGCTTTCTGAGCTGTATACTGTGGGGTGTGTGATCTAAAACCTTCCCATAAAGCTTGCAGCAAAATCAGCATTGCTTACTAATGCTTCTGGTGTGAAAGTTCTTTCTGATACATGTGACGAAGTGCTGAGTCCTGCACTGGAGTGGGCAGGGGCTGGGACAGAATCTCTGTGCACAAAGAGCCAATGCTACCAACCAGACTTCCCCTGCAATGGCTCAGCAGGACCTCCGCGGTAAACAGCTGGGCTCAGCCTGGCTTCCCCAAAGCCTCCAGCCCTGGGTGGGCCCCCTCCTACCTTCCTTCTGGCCACTCAGGCATGGACACACAGCCAGTCCCTCCCAACACTTTCTCCCTGTTGGCTGTGTCATAGCTGATACCCTCAGGACTGCCTCCCTCCTCTGGCCTTTTCTCCTCCCTCTCACTCCAACTCCCACCTGATCCAGACCCCCTAAGGCCTGACTTCTTTTTTGTGTGTGTCGGGGGGCAGGGCAGGATCTCTCCATGTCTTCGAGGCTGGCCTCCCAAGTGCTGGGATTACAGGTGTTCGCTGCCATGCCTGGGCTAGGCCTGAGTTCTTATCAGGCTCTACCACGCACCTTTCTCCTAGCTGCCTATAGCTCCTGGTGGACCTAACATCCTCTCCATAAGCCTGTATGCAGTGGGTAACTGCCCAGTTAAAAAGCCTGCATGGGTCTCCAATTTCCCTTAGACTCAGATCGCCCATGGTCGAATCTGTCCTGGTACTTCTTTTATCTTCCTTCATATTCTGCTTCTTCTGCCCCTAGTTCAACCCAACTTCTCAGTTTCATGCTGTACTCACTGCTTCCCATTTCCCACAAACACGCCTCACTAACGCTGCCTCCAGCAGCCGCGGGGCTCATAGAGGCAGGCGCAAAGTTACTGCTCATTAGCATTTGTTCAGTGAACCAAGGAAGGAAATACGCACAGTTTCTGCTCCATCTTCTGCTTTGCTTAGAGCACCTGCAACTGTCTTCTCCCTCAGGTGACCTACGAGGCCTCCAGGACCCTGCTGAAATTCTTTTTCCAGGAGATGCTTCCTGACTCTTGGGAAACCTCCAACACAACACCCCCTCTAAATTCCTCCAGCACTTAAATAAGGTACACATGCCATGGTTTACAATTACTTCAAAAAAGAGCATCTTATCCTCCATCCTAGCTGTCAATATTGTGAGTTCAGAGCCCAGGCATAGGACAACAGCAGCATGGGACGCAGCACACAGCACTCTAGAAACCGGCATCGCCACAGGTCTCCTTTGTTCACCTGACAGACTGAGAAGCCAAAGCCAAGCCAAGCCAAGGTAATGACCTTCCCACCAGCAGCCCGCTGGGGCCTGGGGAGCCTGCTGCTACTCACTTTGGTAACATGGGTGGTGGTAGAGGTTGAGAGGGTTTCCGCAGTGGCGCCGTAGGTGCTGGTGAGGACATCTTTCCCGATGATCTGCAGAATATAACCACCCCCACCCCGGGCATCAGGTCAGGACACCGGGCTCTATAGCAGCGGGCAGGGTAGGGAAACCCAGGGGCGAGGAGGGGCCCATGGAAGTGAAGTTTGGAAGCCAAGACGCTTTGGACCATTAAGAATTCAAGAATACCAATCTTCAGAATCCTAGAACCATAAAATTCTCAGTCTGGGGATCTGAGATTCCTACAGCCTGAGATTCCTGAGGTCCAGAATCCTAACAACACTCTAGAATCCTAGAGTCCTAGACAAATGAATGGAGAGATCCAAAGTAGAGATGTAGCCCTCCCAGTCCCTCATCCTGTCACACCCAGGAGCATGTTCTCTCCAGGGCTAGATGATGAGAACAACAGTCTTTGAGCATCAATGAACTGGAAAAGACTTCACAGTAACAGACTCAGAATTACGGGCAAGGCAGCACAACAGCGCCAGGCTCAAAACCCAAGTCTTGGATCCTAGTCCGTTGCTCTTCCTGGTCAGCAACTAGGGTAGACGCAGAAGAATCGTCACAGGCGCCCCCAAGGTGAGGCGCCATTCACCCTCCTACTACCAATGTCTTGCTTACACGTGACGGGGGAGGCTGAGGAGACACCAGTGGCACCAGGGACTGTGGACATCTGAAAACGTGCCGGTTTCCTTAGGCTGCACTTAAAAGGGCACTTTCTGGGCCCAACCTATACTTGCTGTGAGCCACATGCGGGCCCATGCTCATGTTCTCAGCTCTGAGGCCCCTAGCCTGAGCTGACCCTGCCCACTTACCGGAGAAAGAGAACGGATTTCCGTGGCCACCGTCTGTGGGCCTGGGATCATGGCAGCTGCCCCCTTCCCGGACTTGAGACTGTTCTCCTGGGGAAACAATAGTACTCAGAGGGCCAGGTCTCAGGTGGGCAGGCCCCCAGGATGGCCGGAGCGCGTGGCCATGTGGCTCTCACAGCCACAAGGCTGAGTAGTAACACAGAAGCAGAGAACTGGAGGCATCACGCAGTTCAGTCTCTCTCATTCACTCCTTGCCTGCTCATTCAGAGACACAATTGTACACTCATTCGCATGGTCACTCATTCAACACAATTACTCACTTAAAAACATTTACTGAGTGCCTGGCGTTAGGGACACTGTGGTGAACAAGATGTGGTATTGCTCTCCAGAAGCACCAATGGAGGAGCTGGGACGCTTGGGTTCTTGTCCTGGCCCTGCCATGTTCTAGCCATGTGACCTGGGGCAGAGCCACTTCTTCTTCCCTGTAGTACCTCCCCCCTGCTCACTCCCACAAATGCCTCAGGAAGCTAACGGGGAGAGAAAGGCTTTACAAACCGATATCTGTATGATACATACAGGAGCATAGGCTGACGATGAACAATATTACAATATTATGTGCTAGACATTATTCTAAGATGTTACATCCATAATTTTATTTGATACTCACAACTGTAGGAAATTGTTTCTACTAGCCCTGTTTATAGATGAGAAACTGGAGTGGAGAAGCATGTCAAGTGGTTTCTTCAAGTCCCCCAGCAAGTTAGTAAAAGAGCCAGAAGTTAACACTACACCGGGCAGACCCCGAGTCCAGTGGTTCTCGTGTTCTGTACCACTGCTCTATCCTGGAGACTCTCATTCTTGAGCCAGCTTTGGGCCCTGACTTAGTTTCTCACATCTGTCCAGGCACACAGCTCCCTGCTACCTCCCACTTCGGCACTGTCTCAGGGCGCGGCTTTGTCTGTCCAGGTGCCCAGCACTGCCCATTCTGTGGCTCCTTACCGGACTGACTCTGGGCCAGGTCTGTGCGTGGTACCAGATCTGGGCCTCTGCCTGCCCGTGAGGAACAGGGAGATACCCCTTGCTTCTTTCCTGCTTCCCCCTCACATGCTTCCAGCTGGGGTTGTCGGTGACCTGGTCACTCGGCATGTCACCACAAGGCACTCTGCCAGAGGCACCTGGGACCCCAGAATGTGAGGGCAGCTTCAGGCTTCAGGCTCAGTGCTTCTTTTCTCTGGCTTAGAGCCCCTTGGACTCTGACTGTTACTCAGGCCGTTCTCCCATGAAGCCTCTTATTCACTCACTGCTCCCTTCTCCAGGGCCAAGTTTCATGTCCACCTTCACACTAAAAGCAGAGGCCACTAAGTGGGACACAAGTTGTTCAAAACAAAGGTACGACCACTCCTCCCACCCCTCTGGGATCCTCAGCCAGTCTCTTCTGCCTTTCTCTGGCCAAGGCAATCCCTCATATGCCACAAGCAGCCACTCAAGGGTTTCTTCTGCGTCTTGGAGAGGCCCAGGTCCCCTACCCCTTTACCTATATCCCAGATCTTCCCAAACCCTACACCTTTAGGACCAACTGTTTCCAGGACCTTTCCCTGGAAATGTCCCATAGGTACCACACACTCATCAAATCCCAAGTAGAACTAGCTGTCTCCTCCACTGATACATGAAGACTCCTCTCTGTTTACACCAGGTGGCAGGTGTTAAGGGGGATCACACTGCTGGGTCCCCCCAAATTTCTGAGTCAAGAGGTCTGAAGCAGGACCACCTTCCTTTCTCACAGATGCCAGAGACCATGCTGTGAGAACCGCTGGCCGGTGAACAGCATGCCCATCCCATATTTCCTCCTGTCACCTGAACCTTCTACCAACACCCTAATCTGAACTTACCCCACCCCCCGCCATGCCTCCTGAACCCCACACCCTCCTTGAACTAGGCCCGCCCCAGCTGGACACCAGCCCCTACCCTACTTCCCCACCCTCTCTGCCTGTCTCTCCTGGCATGGGCCCAGGGCTGGGGAAGCTGTCTTCACAGTGCCTGGCACAGTACTTCACACGTCGTGGGTGTTCAATAAATATTTGGTGAAGGAAGGAAAGAAGAAGGAAGTAGGGAAGGAAGGAGGAGGGAAGAAATTTTTGCTTTAGTCCATGCTCCACACAACCTGTTATCTAAGACACAGAAACATATAATCGATGGTATCATACTCCCACTTTAAAAATCTAACTCCCCATTGTGTCCACGGTGGAACTTGAACTTCATTCAGGACACTGGCGGTCCTGTAAGCTCTGGCCCAGCCCTTCTTCCTTCCTTCTTGTCCCCATGCTCCTCCTGCACACACCCGACACCTGGTTTTTCTGACCACCTGTCTTTCTCCGAACACCGTGCTCCCTCCTGCTCCTGCCCTTACACCTGCTCTTCCCACTGCCCAGAACGCCTTCTCCTGTGCTTCAGGCGCAGCTCAAGTGTTCCCACCCGGGTAACTTCTGCCCAAGCTCCTCCCGCTGGAGCTATCACCTGTAACTGTCCTCCAAGGGGTCCCCAGGCTAGCTTTATTATACTGTTGCAGGAGGGCAGGAAAGAAATAACAGTAGCTCACATTCTACAGACTCCTTTCTATGTGCTAGGCATTGCTCTTGGGGCTTTGCATAGATACTTGAGTTCCTCCTCACATGATCCCTTTGAGGTATGTACTATTACCTCCCACCCCACCCCATGGAAGCAGAAACTGAGGCCTGGAGAGGTTCAGATGACTTGCCCAAGGTCATGCAGCCAAGAAGTGGGAGAGCTGGGCTTTGTTCACCACTGTGCACCCAGGACCTACATACAGTGGCACAGTACATGACATAGTACAGGTGCTCATGACAATGACAAGAAATAAATCCTAGCAGGCAGTGTGTTTTCTTCAACTCTGTATCTCTATACCAGGCAGACAGTAGAGACTCATCAGTGTTTTTGGAACAAATGGATGGATGGATGGATGGATGGATGGATGGATGATATTGCTGCCTGCTCACCATACAGACAAATTTAAATTTAGCCCTGCAAGGATGCCAATGCCCCATGGTGAAAGGTTGGGGGAGAGAAGGAACTATGTGACCAGAGAGAAGTGTGTAAACTGGTAACTCATTTAGGTTTATTGACCCTACAATATTTATTTATTCAAAACCTACCTCCTGAGGAATCTAAATTAATGGAACTCTCCTCTCATATGTATGTTAGGGGTTTGGCAGGAGAAAGCAACTAAAAACAACTCTCAACAGCTCCAGATAGATCTGAGAGGCAACCCTCATTAGCTCAGGATAGGCACTGCTACCTGTAGAGTGGCTGACGTGAAAAGTGGGGCTTCTAGTATCAGAACTCCTGCAGTTACCTGGAACTACACTGACTGGCTGTGTGCCTTTGGGTAAGTCACCCTACCTCTCTGCGCTTCAGTTTCCTCATCAGTAAAGGGTGTAGAAGAAAGACCATCCACCTCAGTTTCATAATCTATTCAGTGTTCTTAGCACAATGCCAGGTCCCATAACCTGTGTGCCAAGTGCTGTCTGTTCTATTTCATTATCAAAGGCCCTGAGAGCTAGGCCGGATGAGGATTATTTCTATTTTACAGATACAGACACCTGGGCCCAAGGATCTCCCTTCATGGACAGCAAATAGCAGAATCACAAGGTCCCTTGGAAAGAGTCAGAAATCCTGCGTCCAACTCAGGTTCACTACTGCCATCTACTGACCATGGCAAGGAGAAAACATTCAGCCACCAAGAGGCTGGGCCCCCAGGGAGGATTTGCAGCACCTTCAGCCTAGAGGTGCGATTTGCCAGTGAAATCTCATGATGGGATTCATGCACTCTAAGAATCAAATAGCACTATCCTCCCTCGTCCCCTGCGTGGCTGTGATGGTCCAATACCCGAGATGCAGGGGTTCCACCTCCTTTGTTATTCGACTGGAAAAATGGTTTGATGGCACGTCTGGGGGTAACTAAGGTATCAGACAATGCACCTTTGACTGTGTGTCTCATGTCTGATGTCAGAAAGGCAGCTGAGGGCTTGCTGAAGCAGCCAGGCAACATTTGCTTGTTATGTGGCTGTTTTAGGGGGCGGGTTGGGGGGGCCGGCGGGGAAGCCTCCGCATTCCACTTACCATGGTGGTCGATATGGTCTCTGTGGTGATGGAGGGGGTGGTTGCCATGAACTCCTTCCCCAGTGGGGCACTCCCATCAACCTGCCGGCCAGATGAGGAGGAGTTAGCGATGGAGGGAGCCAGACAGCCTGTGGCATCTGTCACCTGCGCTCATGGCGCCTGCAGTTACAGTGACAGCCATGTAGGGAGCATGCACATAGAATTACAGAGGGGCCTCCCAGGCCCTTCACTTCATTTCAGCTGTTTTATTTGACAAAGAAAAAATACTCCCAATCTGACAAATTCTACCCAAACCTCAGCACACATAACCTTTGATCTAGCAATCCATAGGCATTTTCCCTTTGGATATGAACTATGAAAAGTTCACCAAGAAATATGAACAAGAGAGTTCACCGCAGCACTGATCGGTAACTGCAAATCACAAAAACCACCCCAGGGTTCACCAATGCGTCAGCAAAATAAAGTAGGACTTGCTTCCTGCATAGGACTAAGAAAAGTAAGGTGGGAGCTGGGCGTGCTGGTGAACAACTGTGATCCCAGGATTCTGGGAGGCTGAGGCAGGAGAATCACAACTCAGTCTGGGTAATTTAGCCACGTAGCGAGATGCTCTTCAAAAAATAAAAGAAGTTAGGGGAGGCTGTGGATGTAGCTGAGTGTGAAGGTCTTGGGTTCAACCTGCCAGTACTGAAAAAAAAAAAAAATAGGGGAAGAAAAGAAAAGAAAAGAGAAGAGAAGAAAAGAAAAGAAAAGAGAAGAAAAGAAAAGAAAAAAGAAAAGAAAAGAAAAGAAAAGAAAAGTAAGGTAGGCACAATGCCAGTTGGGAATGATCTCCAAAAAGTTTCTTTATAATTTTCTGAATGAAAACAAAACAAAAGATACTAAGAAAAAGTAGGCCAGAAAGGAAATGCAGCTTACCCACAGTCACACAGCCCAGTGGAACTCAGAAAATTCTGGAAATGACAGTTGCCTATGTTGTTGATTTAAGTCTTATTTTACCTTTCTCTCTCGCCTTTCCTTCCCTCTTTCTCTCTCCTTCTCATCCCCTCCCATCCCCTCCCGACCCCTCCCTTCTCGGTGTGTGCTAAGAACTGAACCCAGGATCTTCTCCCTGTTAGGTAAGTGCTCTACACTGCACTCATACCCCAACTCTTATTAGATAAAGACTGCTCCCCAGAACAAGAAAGACCCCAGTGCTGCAGCTCTTCCAGCCAGGAAGAACCAAAAAGGCATCTCTTGGGCTCATAATCTCAATTTTTAAAGCTTAAAACCCACAGAAATGGGAAACAGCGGGAAAGGCACTTTAAATAGTGCATCCATGTCCATGGATGACAGCTTTCTCCAGGGTGTTAGGCATGCTTCATCTTGGTAAAGCAAGTAAATTTTGGGGCCTCCCCCTAACTCCCACAAGTTTGTTCACTGTACCAATCTAATGTGGAATTGCTATGCATTAAAAAAAAAATGACCCAGGGTAAGATGTCCAAACTAATCCAGATTGGGATTTCTCCTTTTCTTTCTAAGCAACCCTGGGAAAAATCTCTCTAGCTCTTTCAAGTAGTGCGAAAACCAGGGTCCTAATCCACTAGTCCTGGCAGAACTCCCAGGGAAGAGGAGGCAGGAGCATCCCCACCTTATGGATGAGGTTTTAAGAAGGGTGTTCTGCGAGGCAGAGGTTTCTAAGAAGGGTGCTCTGGGAGGCAGAGATGGAAGAGCCATGAATTTAAGGTCAAACTGGCAAGACCCCTGTCTCAAAAGAAAAAAAAAGGTAGTATAGTCAAGTAGTATAGTCTGCCCCACTCCTACCTGTGGAGCTCAGGGAGGACACTGAAACTCAGAAAAGCACTGGGATTAAAATGGGGGGGGGGCGGTCCAGGGAAGATGAAGTGGACAGAGATGGCTGAGTGGGACCCCACGGCAGTGAGAACCCCACTCCCAAATGCCCAATGGCTGTGGTCAGGCCACAGTGGAAGTCGCAGGCTACCTGGGTATGGTCCACAGTGGAGATTCTGCTCTGCAGTACAGCCTCTGGCTCAATCTTCTTCCTAATGGCCAGGCTGCTGACAGTCATGGTTTCCGTTTTCACAGGCTACAGAGGGATGAAGGAGAGTACTTTGTAACTCAGGAGCAAGACTCCTGCTCAGACACAATTATGGTATAAGTCTGGCACATTATCTCCTGCCCCTCAGCTGGCCAGGTATCTGGGAGGGCATCAGTTCAAGGAAGGAGAGGCATCGTGTGATGGCACAGACAAATAGCTCAAGGGGAGAGCCTGGGCCGCCACCAGCACCAGGCAAGTGTGCCCCATGCTCTGCCACGGCACCACTGCCAGGGGTCTGCATGTCTTTTTAGACAATCATTAAAAGGACATTTGCAATTCCATTCATAACACACTCTGTGTTATGAACACACTAAATGTTTCCTTATACACATAATATCGCTGAACCCAGAAAGACTTCAACAGCTAAGTGTCTGTCATGAGTTGCCTCATTTGAACGGTTGTTCAGAGTCAGAGTCACAAACATGGAGGCCTCCAGGGGCCAGGCAGGAGATATTAAAGCACGGTGGCATAGGCCTGTAACCCCTGCATTCTGGGAGGCGGAGGTAGAAGAATGGCAAGTTCAAGCCCAGCCTGGGAAATTTAGCATCTTAGTGAGATTCTGTATCAAACTAAAAATTTAAAAAGGGCTGGTGATGTAGCTCAGTGCATAAGGCCCTGGGTTCAATATCCCCAGTACTGGTGGGGGAGCATGAGTACAGGGGTGGCAAGGACTGTGGAGAGCATGCAGGATTCCACTCAAGTTTGTCCAACTGTTACCACGGCCTCTGAGGAACCAGACTATCTGATTTTTCATGATATGGAAAGCCTTCGATTTTATACTCAGTGCCATGATTTTTAAATCAGAGTCAAAGAAAACACATTTGGTGGCCAGATCTAGCCTGAGGCTAACAGTTCACAACCTGTACTTTAGGAGTCTTAAGCTAAACGATCAGCCTTCGGAGTCGTCCACCAGGCCTAGTTCATGGCTGTGTCTACTTCAGGCTTTCACATATGTGAGTTGAATGGATGAATGGATGCTAGCTTGTCATCTACGGGAGGTACAGGGGCAGGATTCTTATAGATGGCTGTAGCCCTTATGGTTCAAGTCATTTACTCAGTTCACCATCTCTTAGCACTGAGTATGTGCCAGGTTTAGAGGAGCTGCCTACTACCTGGTGGGACAGCAGACCTGGCGGCCACTGCTCTGACTGCACTGGATGATACTGGAGCAGAGGCATTATCGGGTGCGGGTGAGCATACATCTGCTCACGGTGGCCAGGAAAGCATGACTGGGAAGATGACATATAGGCTCTGCCTTGGATCACAGTAAGTTTACAGGGCACAGAAAGAGTGGACAAACCTTCTATTCTAAGGATATAGCATGCAGTGGCATCCCAGAATGGATGAGCTGGTATTTCACTGCCTGGGAACGTGGGAAAGGCTTGGCTAGAAGAGGTGAGGGGGCCAAGGAATATCATGGACAAGAGATAAGTTTCAAAAAGACCTCTCTAGCTCTATGGGGGGTGGCTATAAAGCAAGGAGGCCCAGACACCATCTGTCACCTATGTCCTCCTCAAGCACTGTATTTCTTCTTCTCCAGAAGTTTCTACTACCACCCTGAGCCCCCAGGACCTGACTGATCCCCCAGGAAGCCCAGTCCTTAGGGAGATGAAGAACCTGGGCCTGGATCAGGAAAAGCCATTCAAGTTTCAAACCTGCTACAGGACCCGTGAGAGTCCACAGACGCATGCGCTCTGTAGGTGCCATGCAACACAGGCGGGGGGGATGCGGAGCCGAGGAAGACTGGGATGCCCGTCATCGCTTGACTGCATCAAGCAATAGGGTGATGGGGTTAAAACACTGAGGAGCGCAAGTTAAGGGTAAACTGACATGGCAAACATGCGGGCACAGAACCATGCTGTTCTGCACGGGGCAGTCATGCAACACGAGGCAGCTTCAGGCTGGATGCTCGGTCTTCTTACACGTGGCCCAGGGCCCTCTGAGCATGCAGTGCTCGCATGGGCCCAGGTCTCCATGAAGCTCCACTGTACCTCAAACTGGGGCATATCCGGGGTGGAGCAAGCCCCTCGTTCTGGGCTGTCCTCAAGGCCCCCAGACTCATCATCCTGGCTGGGAGGCCCCTTGAGATCCCGGGAGAATACCAGGCCCTCGGTTTCTGAGTCGCTTTTGTCCCGGTCGAGCTCAGGCAGGCTGCGGGAGAAGTCTTCAAAGGCGCTGCCATGATAGTCGCCGATAACCGTGAAGTCCACCTCAGCCTCCAGGCTGGACGTAGAGCTGACCGTGATGCTGGAGCACTTGCGTTCAATGGCCAGGTGGTTGTCCTTCAGGAACACTGCGTCCCTCTCCTGGTCCTGGTCCTCGTCTCCTGTGTCACTCTCTGCAGCCCGGGGACGTGGTGGTTTGACTTTCTCCTCTGAGCCCTCCCTCAGCCCTGCTCTCTAAGGCCAGATAAAATCAGAGGAATGGGGGTGCAGGGTGGGGAGAGAGAAAGAGAGAGAAATCAAGATGGTGAATGTCAGAAGAAACCTTGGGGCTGTGTTGATGTCCAGAATGGAAGAGCGGATCAGAAAACAGAAAACACCCCCAGAAAGGGTTCTTTGAAATTATACAAAGCATTAAAAAAAGAAAAAATCCAAAAACTTCTTAAGAGTCGGATGCTCCTTCTTGAGGGTTTCACACTGACGGCAAAAGCAAGTAGAAAGCAAACGTCCTGCCAGGGAGTCCTGGACAGGAGGCTCCATCCAGGCTGGGATCCGGGAGCCTATCAGAAGCAGCACTGCACGAAAAGGCAGGGATGGAAGCCCAGACCGCAGGCCCATCCGTGCAAGTGACGTCAAAAAACAAACTAAGGAGGGAGGCTGGGGACTCGGGGAAACCCAGAAGAGGAGGCAGAGAGGCTGGAGCCAGGAGCTTGAGGAACACAGAGGAAGCCAGCATGGCTTGTCAATTCCACTGAATCTCCGTGGGAGGGATGAGCATCAGCCAGCGGGAGGAGCAGGACCGGGCCAGGCCCTCTGGGCACCAGCTTCTGGGAGTCTTGCCCTCCATGCGCCTGCCATGGGTGGGCCATGGAGAGGAGGCTCTGGTCCCATCAGTGTAATTGACAACAGCAGGTCAAGGAAATGCCTAAGGGAAACCAGCAATTCTTATCCAACATACATACCTCTCAACTGGCCTGTCGGGGATTAAACACCACACATACATTTTTGGCTGGTTCATGACATTTTTTTAAAGACCAATCTAACATACATGATATAGTTTTTAAAACTCAGCTTCAGTTCTGGAGATTCAGTATGCTTAGAGATTCACTTGCTAAACGGGCCTCCATTTAGCCAGTTTCTGGAAGTTCAAGAGGTGTGAGGAATACATTCCAGACAAGCCAGAGTTGAGCAGCCACAGGCGGGCGCTGCTAGAGCAGGTGGGGATCTAAGGAGCGATGCATTCTGGCCAGGTGAAGATGACTGGGTCATCAGGGCACAGAGGGACTGCAGAGACCTGAAGGCCCGAGGGGCTGGCGAAGCTCAGGCGCCCCCCCTTCCCAGGGGCGTTTGCTGCTAAGCTGGTGAAGTGCTGCTCTTCCCTGACCGCGTCTCCGGATTTGTTCTGGATTAGAGAAGACAGTTAGTCTTAAGGAGGCAGAAAGAAACTTGAGAGGGAGTTGGAGTGGAGGATGGAAAGCTCTGGACTGCCAGCTTCCAAAGGCAGGACCCAGGGATGGGGAAGGATGAAGATAGATCACTGGATAAGCCAAGCAAGACAGGTAGGAGGAGTCTAGCAGGTGGGAACAGCAAGGCAAAGCAAGTACTGTATCTAATTTGCTGCTGGTGGTAGAACCTTCTCAACGGGGGTTGTGCAACCCGCTGGGCACCAGGTTATAGCGAAAGCTGAGCGTCTTTGTGGCCAAGCTAACACGGACCAAGCGGATGATCCCATCCTTTAGCCTGGGCTATTCTCAGGCCCATTTAGGGAAAAGACCTCACAGGGATGGACAAGCAGCCTCAGGTTGCAGTAATGATGAGGGGCCACCGAAACATGCTTCTAAAGAGCTACTTGGCATGCGGTTAGCCCCCATGGGTAGGGGGCACGGTGGGAGCAGAGGCTCACGTGGCCAGTTACCCCAGTAGTTTCCTCCAGCGCAGTTTGGCAGCCCGAATCAGGGGACATGAGCTCCAGTTCTGGGCATCTTTCCTGGTGGGATGTGGTAGAAATGCCTTCCACAAAGTGTCTGTTAGCCTGAGGCATCATCGAGGAATCTGTAGCTTTCGGACTGGCAAAGTCCCCTGGGGGCTGGAGTTGCACGGAGCTCAGGTCTGAAAGCTTACTCCACTGTGGCTCTACCTGTCCTGGGGAGGCCTCTGAAGGTTCACTTGAAAAGGCCCTTGTTTCACCCTGACTGGCTCGGCGAACCTCAACTCCGTGGGTCTCAAATATCCGAATTTTATTGGCCACTGAGGTCTTGCTAATGTCTTCCAGGGAGCCCTCCTGGACCCCAGCCTGGAAAGAGGTTATCTCCTTTTGCTTCCCCGCAGGGAACATCCACCCCAGGGGTGTGACCCTCTCACCTTCTCCGGGGATAACTCTGGGCTTTCTGCTGACAACTGGAGGTGCCTTTCGGTCACCTCCTGTGTTAGATGACATGGCCAACCTGACTTGGTCCTTGGTCTCCAGGCTTTCTTTCGGAGGACGGACATGTTTGAGAAATACAGGAAGCTGATCTCCAAAGGGATCCCTGAGCTCTGAAGGTTCCCCTGACCTCTGAGGGAGCAGGCTTGGAGAAGTGTCGTCCAGAGCTACCAGAGCCTCTGAGTGAGCAGAGGAGGTTGGCAAGGGGGTGACCACCTCTGTGTGAAGGAGTGCTGAGGCCTTATGGTCCCCAGTCTCAGGTTCTCTGGCTTGGGTGTGATCTGCTCCCCTCTCTTTGGGCAGGAAGTTGCCTCTGTCCGCTCTGTCGGGTTTGGCTGGCTTCCTCACCTGAGGAGGGATAGTCCACAGAAGGGCACAGGCCTGGGCGTCCAGGTGTACACCCCCCACTCCATTAGGGAAGCGGTTCCTTCTTCTTGTTGGGGGACTCTTCTCAGCCTTTTCCATTAAATCTCCACTCTCATGGGCCTCTTCCTCTTCGGCTGAACTGGCTGTTGTGTGAATAAACTGTCCTTCCACCTCTGACTGGGCTTCTTTCAAGTCCTCAGCAAATATCTGCTCTGGGGAAGCTTCCTGCAGGTCACCCGGTCTTCCATGGCTCCTGAGAGACCTGGGCCCTTCCTCTGAGGAAATCTCATGGGCTTCATCCTTGTTCCTGCCAAAGGCTGCAGCAGAGCCCATCTGCTCTGAGGAATTCAGCTCCAAGCTGTCTAGGAGCTCCAACTCCCGCCTGGTCTCACTTCCAGGAGGGGCATCCAGGTGCTCTTCTCTCTTTTCCACGGGTGGAAGAAGGACTTGGTCTTCAGAATCTTTTCCCTCATAATTTAGATGGAAGCTCCTCTCTACAAAGGAGGTATCAGTCTCATCACTTGAGTCAGCTCTGGCCTCGGCATGGACTGGATCCAATAGAAATGACTGGAGCTCAGCTTTGTCTGAGCCTGGAGAGGAAATGTCCATCTCTGCTGGCCTGGTCCCTGGAGGAATGGGTCTTCCACAAGTCTGCAGCTGCTGCAGCCCCTTCCTCAGTTCTACCTGGTCATCCAGCTGACCATCGGAGACGTGGCAGTTCCTGATGAGTGCCTCACTGGTACCCATCCTGAGCTCAAGGCCCTCAAGCAGCTTATCTGCCAATGTGCAGCCCGCAGCCGGGGCAGCCCCGGCTGAGTCTCCCCCGACGCAGGGGCCTTCCTTCCACACCGACTCAAAGTCTTCTGGACTTGCGATCATTTTCCCTTTCTGCTGAGTGTTTGCTCTTCTGGTCCCCACCATTTCTTCAGTGGCCACTTCAACTTTGAACTTGTCCACCAGAATGTCTACCTTGGAGAGTCTGCCATCAGCAAGGATATCGGCAAGGACTGCCTCATTTTCTTCCTGCTGTGTGGTGGCCACCATTAGGAAACTGAGTTCTTCTGGCCTAGTGTACTCTCTTTCTATAAAAACCCAATGCTCCGAGCCCTGTGTTTCAATTGGAGCAAGAAGAGTTAATATAAAATAGCATGCACCTAAGGGCGGGCCACATTTCCCTGGGTAAGAAGGGACCAACCTACCACCACTGCACAGTGGGATGGCGTGTCCCCAGGGCTGGCCAGGGGGAGAGGCGTGATGGTATCAGCCATACTCATCAAGGCTATTCTTCCCATTAAGGCCCCCCAAATTGACAAGCCTTCTCAACTACTGTCCCCAGGTTGATAAAAAGGGATGGGCTCTCATATCCTACCCACACTAACAGTGAGGAAAGGGAGATCCATGGATGGGCCAGGACTCTTCCTCTTTTAATAAAATAATTGCCACTGTCAGGAGGAAAGCACTTACATGACCGGGAATCTTTGAATGCTAGAACTGAAAGAGCACTGAAGACATCATCCCATCTTATCTGGAAAAGGCCTGGAAGAGGCCAATGACTTGGCCACGATCGCTACTGGCTGGTGGCAGCGTTAGGAAGAGAATGCCTGATTTCTGATGCCTGAGATCTTTGCTAACTTATTTCACAACCTTGGAACACATGGGCGCCGACTGTGAACTAATGTCAAGCCAAGCCAAGGGGGAGAACTGAGTGGAGTCCCATAGGCCACAGCCTGGACTCTGACCTTTCTATAAGAGCTTCTGAAGCCGGGCATGGTGGTACACACCTGTAATCCCAGCACTTGGGAGGCTGAGGCAGGAGGATCATTGTGAGTTTGAGACCAAGGCCAGCCTGCACTGCATACTGAGACCCTGTCTCAAAAAAGACCAAAAAAAAAAAAAAAAAAAAAAAAAAAAAAAAAAAAAAAAAAAAAAAAAAAAAAAAAGAGCTTCTAGGCAGGAAACAAATTACTAATAGCAAAGATAACAAATAGCCAGGTTAGCATCAGTTAATGTAATAGCTTACAGGGCTTGAACACTGTGGGGTTCAATCCAAAGGAAACAAATACCAAAGCCCACCCTTGGAGAAATCTAACAAAACTTACGGAGTACAAGTGGACTAACCGGAACACACTATAGAAGGAAAAGACCTAAGGACCCAAGAATGAGTAGGGGCCCAACAGTGGCAAGAAGGTACCAGAGAGTGGCAGTGTCAAACTGTCTACAGAATGTTGTCCTCTACCCCAGCTCTTCCAACAGTGCTTGGGAGGGGATGACGGACTTCTAGAATCAAAAAAGCAGGAAGGCCAGTGGGTTTTTAATCTCTTCTTGGGCCACCACATACTTTTTTCCCAAAAATCTCAATGGAAGTGCATCTAAGATACTGAGAAGCCCTGGGGACACTGAGGGCCTGGGCTGCCCCAGTGCCCTGAGAATCTCCTTCTTTTAAAATACTGCTTTGAGTTGAGTCCCTCAGGAAACAGACATGCAAATCACCTCCCCTGACAAGGCCCAGCAGAGGTACAGCATTTTGCCCAAGGTCACAGAGTGAGCCAGGGATGAAGACAAGGCAGGCCTGGAACCCAGTCCCTGACTCCAAGCTCTGTGAAGTGTATCCACCTATGTGGTGAGAGGTGCCAAAAAGGGTCCCAGTAACAGGAGGGCGAAGGTCTATGTGACCTTCAGGCTGTGTCCCAGTGAGGTGGCTGTCAACCCCACAAGAGCTGGAGGATTTCAATGATTGAGGGAATACTGTAAACCATTTCCCTTTGTTCCATTTTAGTAAATCACATCTGCATGATAAGCAGGGAACCAGATCTCATTAGGAGGATCAACAGGAAACAGAAAAAGGAAGAAGAAGGTCCCGACAAAGTCTGGCACAAGTTTCTGAGATTTCTGTTTCAGACGGGTAGACCCTCAGCAGCACCACAGCACTTGACCCACCAGAGGAAGGTGCTGTGAGAGCTTACGGGAGCCAGGGCCCTTCCCCTTGCGGGGCAGAATCCTTCACCTGTTTCCATTTCAGCTCTTACTAACACCATCAGCTGCCAATGAGGGCCAAAGCTGCTCAACAAGACCCCTTCTGGAACATTCCTCCCCCAGTTCTGATTAGTAACCAGGTTAGATAAGCAACAGTGTGTGGGGTGGGAGCTGGCATAGAATGAAGAGAAAAATTCTGCAGGCAGAAAAAGGGAAACACGTGGTAATAATGATTACTAGGTACTACACACCGCCAGCCCTTCATCTAAGTTATTAAATTTAATCCGATTGGCAACCCGTGATGCAGACATTGTTATCCTCATTTCTGGAGGAGAAACTGAGGCATCCAGACAGGCGGGTGACTTGCACAAGATCAGAGTGAATAGTGTGGGGAAGGAGTTCCACTTCTAATATGTAGAAGCGAGTGTGCAGGAGGCTGAAGAAGAAAAAAGACTGAACGAAGAAGAGACAGAAACTTCTCCGGGGCCAAGGCACTGGTGGAGCCACACTCTGCCCCCTTCACAAGGTGGAACAATGTTAGGGTACTGAGCAGGGACTCTCAGTCCCTTGTTCGGAGCAACCCCTGCCATCTGCTTGGGGTTCATCAGCCCTGGGCTTGGAGCAGGAGCTGGGAAGCCAGTTTGGTTCCCACATAAGACACAGACAGAAGAAACTCCAACCAGGCAGCTCTGCTGACACCGGAGCTCGCATCATATTTTGGGCCTCGCTCTTCACCAAAAGGAGGGTGTCCAGGAGGAAAGCACCTTAGAAATCACGTCCTGGGACAGTCGCTGGGTGGGCTGCGAGTGCTGGGGGAAGAGGAGGTATTCAGTCCTCTGAGGGTGGCCCGGGGGAGGCTGCAGAGCAAATCCAAGGGCACCAGAGGGCAGAAGGAGGCTGACAGGCTGCTGATGCCAAAGGGCAGATTTTTCAGCTAATACAGAAAACTTCCTAACTGATGACTGAAAACAAAACTTTTTTGTTTTGGGAGAGAAAGGCTTTTTTGAGGGAGAGAAAGTCTTTTTCAAGCCGCCATCAGGACAGGGAGCGCTCCCCCTGTGGACAAGGCTGATACACAGCTGGCAGGATGCTGAGGAGGGTACAGGAAGGCTCCTCTCCCGGGAAGAGCTCCTGCCTTAGTTCTGGGGCATCTCTGGGCTACAGGCCCTCACTAGTCATTGACCTTGGGCTGCTGTTGATTCCTATTCTACTGTCCCTGACAGAGTGCTGGTAATTTTAGTTTTATTTTCAGGGAAAGCTGTGGTTTATATTTTACCACATCTGTGGCTGACTAGTATCTTTCTTATACTTGCAACACATCTGTAGCAGCTACAGAAATTTTCTCTGTAAAGGCAAAAATGTATATGACCTTTCCCACATACTATGCCAACAGAGACTAGGAGACAAAACCTTCCCCAGCTACCGGACGTGGTGGCACATGCCTGTAATCCTAGCACTCAGGAGGCTGAGGCAGGAGGATCACCAAGAGTTCAAAGCAAGCCTGGGCTATACAGTGAGTTTAAGACCAGCCTGAACTGCACAGAGAGACCCTGTCTCAAAAAAAAGAAAGAAAGAAAAAAAACCTTCCCCAGCCGATCAGTACTTTCCAACCCTGACAGTCTATGAAATCCCAGTGGACAAGGAAGATGTGGCTCCTGCTGCTGGTGCCTGCTAGTGCAGATTGCATACCCTCATCCACAGCAAGTTCCAAGAACCCTCAACCTGCCGTTGTCCTGGTCCCAGAAGCATGCCCTCCTCACTTATAATGCGTGCCCGACCAATACTTCTACAAACCCAAGGATACTCCTAGGAGAAAGATGCCCCATTTTGCCTGCCTGAATATCCTGACAGACCCAACAGAGGAGTTTGGAGAGTGGGAGGCAGAGGCTGCAGGGAAGGCCACACTCTAACCAGCCATTGCTAGATCTTATCCAGGCTTCTGAACAGAGATAAGACCTAGGGCAGGAAGCATTTAGGGGCCATGATCCCTAATCCCTAACTGAGAGGTCAGAGCCTGCCTCCAGGGTCCCCTACCTCACCAAGGCCCGAGAGATGATACCTGCCATCCCTCTGAAGCTGGAGGTGACTCAGCTATTCTGTCTTTCCAGGACTGTTGTAGTCCTGGCCCTCCCGATAAGCAGTGGATGAGGGAGAAAGGCTGCCCCTTTATGCTCCCCTGGGATGAGGACACTTGCTGGTTATGGCACGGGAACAGATGGGCCAGCCTGCTCCCCTCTGCAAGGCAGAGTCTGGTCCATTCTCCTCACCCCAGAGAAAGGCTTTTTCGAGACCCCAAAGGATAGGTAGATCAGGGCAGGCAAAAGGCCCTGGGTGGAAGGGGCAGAGGAAAGTGAAGACAGTAACCTCAGGTGATGCTGCGAGGCTTTTCTGAGTGAACACTTCCAAGCCTGCGGCTGTTCCAGGTACCAAGTCCTGCTGGGAGGCGTCCTGGGTCCTCTGGGACTGCTGGGGAAGCCCAGGGCCAAAGGAAAAGGAGAGAGGGAGGAAGCAAAGGAGAGACAGACAGGAAGAGAGGGAGAGAAAGCAGGAGAGAGATATACACCGAGTCCATAAACAACCCAGCTTTATAAGTCCCACACCCTTAGGGCTGACACATTTGGTCAGAAAGGAGCCACTCTGTGGGGCAAGAGAAAGAGGTCATCCCTTCTGAGCCACCTACGGGAGGGACAGAAGCCCAAGTGGGCTGTGAGCAGTACTGTGGCCTCCAGCCTACGCCTCATGGCTGCCCTCTAACACTCTGGGATTTTTCGAATCACACCATTTGGACTCTGATTCCAAGTCTGACCTGTCTATCACTGACTGAGATTATACTTCAATCCTGCAGTTGGGGCTACAGTACCTCTTTAAATGTTAGCTTTAAAATTAAAACATGGCGTTGGCAAATGGGAACAGTTCAAGTTCCTACTGTTTTCCTCTTGCCCTAGGCAGGGCCCAATAAGCTCCGAGGAGGGTACTAGGAGTTCTGGATCATATGGCCTTGAAGGATCCAGCGCACAACCCAGATTTGGATCAGGGACTTTGATCACTTTCAGCAATGGCTCCATGGCTGCCCCAGCACCTCCTTGTTGATAAGATGCTTCCATCTTTATCGTTTCAGCCTTCCCATGGGGTGGAAGTTTTGTCCCCTTTAGATGGACCAGGCACTGAGGCTCAGAAAGGTGAGATTACTCACCTGGGGACCCCGTCAAGTCCTTGTCTATGGCTCCTCACTATCTCCCAAGTCTTCAAGAGCCCCCAAATGCCAAGGAAGTCTGTAAACCAATTTATAAATGGTCCATCACTCCAAGGGGGGGCGCTCTGGACTGTAACTCTTTCCAGCAGTGGAGACTATATTTCTCCAGACCGTGCTGGTGGTGGCACAGACGACCTTTGAGCAAAACCCATCTTCTAGCAGTTCCGACCATCACCAGCAGGTGGGGCACACCCCCACGCCAGGCTGCTCTGAGATCCCAGGGCTCCAGACTCCAGCTCAACAATGCTCATCTTTCCTTCCTCTGTTGGAGTCTGAGCCTTTCCACCGGCTCTGCATCTCTCCTCACCCCAGCCAGGCCATGACCTAGCGCACCTTGGAACTGGCTAGAGGTCCCTCTGGCCAATTTTCTCTCTAGGAAAAGAGGTGGAGGAAGAGGGAATGCTATTTCCTGGTTCACTAAACCAGCCAGAGGCCCAGTCTAGTGTCTTGGTTGTGCCAGGAACCACAGAAGCCTTCAGTAGATGTAGAATTTCTAGGACACCAGCCTTAAAGGCCCCCAGAGCATCCATCATTTGGTGACTCAGCAGCCTGAGAATCCCAGGAGCCTCTCTGAGCTTCCGCCTCACTAGGCAAAGCCCTCTGTTATCTAGTGGGCTCAGACCACGGCTAGCACTAATTCAATCAAATCCTCTTTGAATTAGATTATGGCTGCACCATCAGCTTTCAGAGCACTACAGTGCAGCACGTACGACTGACTCTTCACCTGGTCTTCACGTTTGGTCTTGCTCCAAGGCAGCTGTGATTTAATGGCAAATAGGGTGATCTGGGACACAAGAAAAGTGGCTTGTGGTCCCTCTATTACCTAGGATGGCAACAGAAGAGGTTTTCTTCTTTCTAGGTCTCTGTGTTCCTATTTGTAAAAGGAAGACCTTGAACCAAGAAAGCCCCAGGTCCTTTTCTATAAAGGACTCTCCAAATGACATAATAAGTAACACATATTCGACACCAAGATATCACAGTGGTCCCCCTCCATATGTATCTTTCGATCCTCACGACGTCCCTGTGAACATCCCCACCAAGCAGGGCCTCCAGAGAGGTTAGGTGAGTAACAAGCCTAGAGCCATCCAGGCGGAAGGCAAGAAAGCCAAGAATTCAAACCCAGGCAGCGTAAGTCTACACCACAGGGGGATCTGAGAGCAGTGAGCAGCGGCTCTAGAGAGAAAATGCTTTTGTATAAACCGGGGTAAATACTGCTGAGATTTAGTAAGTGCTAAAATTAAGAGTTTGGGATTATAAACACAGGAATTTCCCAAATCTTCATCTCTTTTTCAACTGAGAAAACACCACACCTTTTCTACTCTGAAAGGCGGGGCATGTGGGGTCCTTTTCTGAAGCCTCAGGAGCAAGCCTGTTCCTCTGGGTCCCCCTCCCTCTAGTAGACTCAAGAGGCTACTTCCTGGAGGGACCTTGACCCCACTGTTTCCACAACAGACACAAAAAGGTGTGGTTACTGGGTAGAACTATGAGGGTTCTCGAAGTTTAGTACGAGAGGGAATCAATCACCTAACGCACTTGTTCCAGCACTGTACCATCAAAAGCTCACTAAGTAGGTCTGAGTCAGGGCCCTGGAATCTGCATTTCTAATACCGTAAGTACCTCTTTCCCATTATATTCTGACTGGTGGGAGGGGACTACACCAAACTACCATGAATTTTAGTGTTTTCCATGCTTCAGAGTGGTGCCCAGGACACAGAATTCCAAGATTTAGTGGATTTGTCTCCCTTACCAACCCTGAAGGCAGCAACGGGGAAGCAGAAGGGTGTGGAGGCTGAGTGTAAGACACTATGCAGCAACCCTAGTGCTTCTGTGCCCAAGGTCCCTGCTGAGGACTTCGGGGTGAGACCTACCTCGCTGGCTTTCTCAGGGGTTCCCTTGGGAGAAGGTGAGGCAGGCGAGGAGGGCAGCCTGCGCTCCCGCTCCCAGTCCCGATCCCGGTGGATCAGCTTGCTGTTGGGCTCCTTCAGGGTCCTCTTGAGCTCATTGATGCTGGCCTGATGCTTCAGCAGGACGTCCTCTGGCTTGTCCAAGAACTAGGGGTGGACGAAGAGGACAACGGTGTTAGGTGAACAGCTCGGGGTGGGCAAAGCAGGATGCAGGGATGGTGGCAGCAGTTGCACTGGGATTCACCTCGCTGACACTGTCCTTCCTCGTAACAGCCCCAGGAGCCAAGAGGGCCAAGGACCATCAGCCTCAGTAGGACACTGACCAAAGGACCCTTGGAATGACAGAGAGGACACTCCAGTCAAATCACCTTCTCTTCTCCCCTGCCTGACTCCCTGACTTCAGAACACCCAACTCAACCCAAGTCCTTCAGGTCTAGGTGACATTCCCTTGGGTGCTGGCAGCCCAGCTGTAGTCAGATTTCAGGGCGAAGTCCCTCTGGTTATAACCAGAGCAACAGCAGGCAAGGTCTGTCAGAGTGAGAACTCCTTGATCCTGTTTATTGGGCTGCTGCAGTGTACTCAGTGGCCTCCAAGATTCCTCCTGGACCCTGGTTCCTACCTCTGGCCAAGACATGGACCCCTGCACTTAGTGATGTCCAGTCTAGGCCCCTCTGAGTCCAACATGTGCAATTCCCTAGGCCCTAGGGAAGCCTACAGTGATGATATGCCTACAGTGACAACCAGGGCCACCTAGAAAAATGGGTGCTGCTCCCTTACCCAGGACCAGGGGCCAGGATGAAACTGTGCAGCCTTCTATGCTATGACCCATAACCTTCCCCACCTCCAGGATCCTTCAGATGCCTCTGGGTACTGACTTGCCAAGAGCAGATGGAGTGAGATATGGCCCACACAGAGCCTAGAATGCTACAAGGTGTACAGGAAGATTAGAGACCAGGAAAGAGAAGGATGAGTGCCAGGGTTGGGCACAAGAACTGAGCCAGGTACAGCTGGAGCCATGAGCCCCACCCCCCATTAAACTTCTGGGTCTGGGCTCACGCCAGTGCAGCATGATGGAGTAATCTGCCTAGGTCCAATGAGGCCAGCCGCAGTGACCTGCCAAAGCTGTTTATCTGCCTGCTTCTGGGACACAGGTGGTGGGCTGGCAGCCCGGGGACCTTATCTGCAAGCCTAAGGACTCATGGTAAGCCCATTAAGGGCACAAAATGGACAAGCTCAGCTTATTAAAGCCAGATAAGGTAGCTCTGGGAAGACCACCTGGAAGGTAAGCTTGCCCTTGAACAAAGCTAGAATCTTCTGCTGGGCTTATCTTTAGCATCCAAGGATCCACTGTGATTGACTCCTAAGCTCCTTCTAGAAAGAAACTGATCCTACCAAGGCTTCAGACATCTGCTTTGTACCTCCAGCCTCCCTCCTTTCCAGGGATGAGCTGCCTATAGGACAATGTCTGTCTGAGAAGTCAAATCTGCCGGAGTTTGTACACAGGATAGGTTTGAGGTGAATATTCAAGGGGCCCAACCTGAGATGGTCCCTTGCTGGCCCGCTGGCTCCCTAAAGCTGTAGCCTACTGTGCTCCCAAAAGCTTCAGGAAGCAGAATCCCTGAGGGTTCTGGGCCTTGGAGAAATCTGTCTGAATGCCTTGCTGTATGGACAGGGCCCCGGGGTTTGAAGAAACCTTCCTAAGACCCTCAAAGACCTTAGCTACAGGCTAGCCCTTGGCTCTTTCTCTCAGCAGCCCAAGGATAAAGCCCTTCTCTTGCACTTAAAGTTCCAACGAAGGCTGCAGTTTGTAAACAGGAAGAAGTGGTGAGCACAGAGGAACCAGTGGAGGGAAGCAGCAAATGGGAAGAGGAGGAGACCAGAGATGAGGATTCTGAGGGAGGCAGCAGTGTCCACCCGGAAGGGAGTGGAACCAGAGTGTGAGCAGATGAAGATGTGCTCCAAGGGCTCCTCCCTCCCCGCCCCAGCCCCCCACTCCCACATCTGGTGGCCACAAGACACAAAAGAAGATTTGAGTGAGGACACACGTGAGATGGAGGCGTGACCAAACAGTGCTGTGGGGGAGATGAGTCTAAGGAAGGATCAGAGGGGGAGGTGGGAGGACAGGAGCAACAGGGAAGCGCAGAATGGCCTGGCAGAGCCAGTGGACACAGGAGGGGTGTTCAGCAGGTGAGAAGCAAGCATGGAGTATGAGTCATTCTGGAGAGGCAGAGGGTGAGGGTGGATGGAGGGTGGTAGGTGACAGGAGGGAGGAGCGATGGCTGGCTGGCGGTGGAGTCTGAGAAGGGAGCTGGAGAGATGATCTTAATGGGGGTTAAGGATGACTGGGGAGGGGGACGGTGAGGAGGAGGGCGGCGGGGGCGGGCAGAGATGAAGCTAAAGATGCGATGGTGCTGGGAATATAAGCTGATAAACTGTAAGATGGTGACAAATGAGCTGGGGGTCTGAATGGCTGGGTAGGGAGAGACAAGTCCCATGCAGTACCTCCTGCTTGTGTCTTGGCGTGGTTTCCTGCTCCGGCTAGCGGGATGTGGCAGAGGGAAAGGAACCAGCAGAGTCAGTAGAGCAAACGGATTGAGACACCGCGGCTGGCCTGGTGCAGCAAGGCAGCCCAGCACGCTCCACCCAGCCAGGAAGTGCAGGCCAGGGAAGCTGCTGGGCCACCCGGAGGCAGTGGGATAGCTGGAAGAAGGCACAGGGTGGGAAGCAGGGACTGTCCCGGAAAGGCACAGGAGGGGCGGGAGGGCTGGAGGCTAAGTGGGCAGAGCCTCCCTTAGGTGGACAGCATGAGTGGCTCTGAGGCGTCCTGCTCCTGGCTGCAGTGGGTGTGTGTTCCGGGGCCTGTGCCCACACAGCAGAACTGCATGGTGGAAATAAAGCTGCTTTACAACTCTACCAGGAGGAAGCCATGCCTGACCCAAGTGTGCCCCTGTTCTTGCATGTCTGTGTGCACAAAGGTAAGGGTGAGGGCATATATATGTCTGAGAGTGAGTGCATGTGAAGCTGAGGCTGCACGCTCCTGCAGGAGCATTCCCTGGGTGCGGTGTGTGCGTGCATCAAGTGCAGAAGCAGGAAGGAGACACCTGCACCTCACTCTATGAGGCCCCTCCAGGCATTGGACCATATCTGGGGAGGAGGGGGTGATGCGGAGCCAGATCATGGAAAAAGGGCAGAGGAGGAGGGACCCACAGGAGGCCTAGAGGGGACAAGCAGCCACTGGAAAGGCGGGGCAAAAGGAAGAGCTCACCCTTATCCCCACCCCTGGATATCCAGGTGCTGTGTACCACCCAAGGGCAAGGCCCTGTCCATGAGCCACCATGTAGCAAGGGCGTGTGAAGGCCAAGACCGAGCTTAGATCTCAGATCAGCTTCCCAATCTCTAGGGTAGAAGAAACCTAGATGCCTACCTTTAGTTCCTTGATCTTGGTGGGGGTCCTGATCTCTCCCTCCTCAGCCTCTGAACGCCGCCCTCCAGATTCAGCATCCTCCTCCGTCTTGTCACCATCAGGCCCTGCGTCGTGGTTCTCACTGACCGAGGCTGGGCGGGAAAACTCTGCTAAAGTAGGCAGAGACAGCCAGGTGACCATGTGAGACGTCTCCTCCAGCATGGACAGGAAGCTAGCCCAGCTGCTGCCCAACCTCACCTGCAGTGCAGCCAACTGTTCCATACCCCAACCCCTTGACTGCCCCCAGTCACATGGCTGCGGAGTGGCAGAGCCGCCTCCCAGCCCACAGACTCCTATTTTTTACAGCACTAGAGTCTGGGTTCAATCTCAAATCCTTTTTGGCTGTGTGACCTTGAGTAAATTATATAATCCCTCTGGGTCTCAGTTTCTTCACCCATAACCGTAGATACTTTATTTTATTTTTGGTACCGGAAATCGAACTCAGGACTTTGTACTTGCCAGGCAGGCACTGTGCTGCTGAGCTATATCCCTGGCCCAATAGTATTTACTTTAGATAGTTGAGGTGAGAAATAAATAAACTAGCACATACTAACATTTAGGAGAGTGTCCAGCACACAGTGAGCCTTCCATCAACACTGGCCCATAAATGTTGCTATTTATTTATTTATTTATTTACTTATTTTTTTTTGTCTTTTTGAGAAAGGGTTTTTCACTATGTGATTCAGGCTGGCCTTGAACTCACTTTGTAGCCCTGGCTGGCCTTAAACTCACAGCAATCCTCCTGCCTCAGCCAAGTACTAGGATTATAGGTATGAGCCACCACACCCTGCTAATATTGTCACTTTAGTTGTGGTTGTAGACCATGCACCTGATTATTACTTAGCAATACACAGATATGGTGAGATTAGCTTTTACTAATGAAAGCTAATTCCTAAAGATTATATATTGTTATGATTTAGATCTATAATGTTCCCTAAAAGTCTCAAGTTCAGAATTGGGGCCTAGGGCCAGGGATATAGCTCAGCAGCACAAGCACCTGCCTGGCAAGCGCGAGGTTCCAAGTTCAATTCTCAGTACAAAAAAAAAAACTCAGTTCCAGAATTTGGGCCTGGTTGGAGGGGGTGAGACACTGGAGGAATAACCTGTAAGGCTACAGTCTTGTCTCTGGTTCTTCCCTTTGCTCTCTGCTTCTTCTTCTTTTTTGGTGGGGGGCACTGTCCCACTAAGCTATATTCCCAGCATGCTCTCTGCTTCTTGGCCACCACAAAGTGAGTAGCTTTCCTCTGCTATACCCTCCCACCACACTGTTTTTACTTTGGAGCCAACCAACCATGGGCTGACTTCACTAGAAATTATGAGCCAAAAATAAATCTCTTCTCCTTTAAATTCAGATATTCTCCAAGTGATGGGAAAGCTGACTAATAAAGAAAATTGGTACCAGGAGTGGGGATGTTACTGTGACTCCACCTGACTATGTAATATAGGAGCCTTTGGAAGTGGTTTGTGGGAAGAATTTGAAAAGGTTTGGAGATGCTGCCTAGAGAAGCCCTAAAATGCTATAAGATGTGTTTAATGGGTGATTTTCGCTGGAGCTCAAAAGACCAGAGAATGCTGACAGGGATGCCGACAGTAAAGGCCAGAATTATGAGGTTTCAGATGGAAATGAGGACTATATTGGAAACTCAACTAGAGGTCATGCATGTTTCATTCTGGCAAAGAATCTGTCTTCATTTTGCCCCGATTCTAAGACTTTGTATAAGACTCAATTTAAAGGTGGCAGACTAATTAATCTTGTGGGAGAAATTTCAAGGCAGTCCAATGTTCAGACCATGACATGGGTACTGATAGCTGCTTTTAGCCAGATTTATAGTGAGAATTAGGAGCAAAAAGCAGCAAAGCCAACTCTTAGAGATGGAATAAATGCATTTCGTATAGTGACATGGTCATGAACCTCTTGGGGGCCAGAGAGGAATGTTATAGTTTGGATCTAACTTGGCCTTGTTGGAAGAGGGTCACTGGACATAATCTGGAAGTATATATTCTTGCCCACAGCTCCTCTCTTTTGCTCTCTACTTCCTGGTTAACATGAAGTGAGTAGCTTTCCCCCACCAGGCCTTTCTGCCATGCTGTTTTACCTTGGAGCCAGCTGACCATGGACTGAATGCACTGGAAACTTGAGCCAAAACAAATCTCTCTTTCTTTAAATTATGAGTGTCAGGTACTTCGTACCAGCAATGGGAAAGTCACTAATACATAATCTAAGGATTTTTCAAGAAAATCCTTACAATAACATCTTTTTTGTTCACTGACACTCCAAAATACTCTTCTGAATAGAAAAGGGATAGAGTTATAGACTTCACACCAGTTACTTGGGCATAACCCAACTATGCCCTTGAGTCTTGATTAAAAAAAAAAAAAAAAGCTGGGTCAGGTGTGGTGGCACATGCCTGTAATCCCAGCACTTGGGAGGCTAAGGCAGGACAATCGTTGTGAATTTGAGACCAGCCTGGGCTACAAAGTAAGCTCAAGGCCAGCCTGAACTGCATGGCAAGACTCTGTATCAAAAAGACAAAACAACAAAAAAATAAAATAAAAAAGCTGGAAAACATTGAGTTAAAATAACCAGAGCACAAATTATTACCCTTGGGATTGGTCTAAATTAAAAAGAATGATAATCCTTTCTATGTACATATATTCACTTTGCAAATACAGTACTAATTTGCCCACATTATCTCCCTTGATTCACACAATTCTCTGTGCTGATCGTTGGGAATGGAAACTACTCTTCCCATTTTAAAAATTTATTTATTTATTTATTTATTTATTTATTTATTTATTTGTGGTGGTGGTGGTGGTGTTGGTACCAAGGATTGAATCCAGGGCCTTGCACCTGCTATACCACTGAGCTATATCCCCTCCCCTCATTTTAGAAGGCTAAATTGAGACCTCAGGGGAAAATCGCCCTGACTTTCAGTGGCTCAGAACAAGAAGCTCTTCTTCCTGGATTAAAAGTCCAGGCTTCTGCTCCTCCTTACACGAGCTCCACCAGCTCTGGGCTAACCTCTGCTGCCCCCCAAACCTGGTCATCATTTGGTCCTTGGCTGAGGAATGGAACTGAAGTGGAGGGATGCAGGCATAGCCCAGATCCTCCTTCCTTTTGCATAAACCACAGTACTCCATTCTCCCGATAAGATGTCAATCTGTGCACCGCCAAGCTTCTTGGACTGGGGGCCCAGAAAACTCTCTGGCTGAACCTGGGACCCTGCGAGGTCACAGCTCAGGGAAGTCACGGGATGTTCCAAAGGCAACAGTGTCACATGCCAAATGGGAGTGCGTTATAGGCTGGGGTGAACCCATCAGAGCTGCCCAGATGCAAAAGTGCCCATGGGCTGCTGCGCCTGGTGTAAATTAACTTGCGATATATCCGCCATTATCACTGTCCATTCTGCAGAACCTAGCATGCACACTTCCCATTCTCCCTCTAAATACCACTCTTCCCCCACCTCCTGTTTGGGCCTTACCTCCATCAAGGCTGCGAGACATGGTGTACCGTTTGCTGGAGGAACGCTCAAAGAAGGGTGCAGGCCGGTCAATGAGAGCACTGGCCTGGCGTGTCTGGGCCTGGGTTCTTCCACTATACCGGAACTTGGAGCCCATCACCAGGAAACCCTTGGGTGGAGGCTCAGGGGACACCAGCCTGCAGTGGAGGAACGGAGGTGAGGAAGGAGAATGAGACCTGCATTGCAAGGCCGCAGAGTAGACCGACCAGGTCTTTTGTCCCATTGCCCCATCAACTATGACACCTCAGAGGGGTGCAGAAAGTAGAATACTCAGAGAAGCGGGTGTGTGTAGGGGGAGGGAGGTCCTGGAGTCTCCCTAACCCCTCTTGCTACTCCCCTGCACACTCACAGCCTCTGCTCACCCATTACCCCAGCCCAGGTTTGGCTCACCGGAAGAACGTGTGGTGTTCGATGCAGACCTTCCACAGCCTCTTGGCTGACCGGTGGTTTGGAAGCTTAAAGCCAATCGTGCTCTCAAACTGCTCATACTGGAAAACCAAGAAGCAGGGTTAGAGGCAGGGCCAGGACCACTCTTGCCTATCCTTTCCAAACCTCTTCTCAGGCACCTCTGCCTTTGGCCTATTCACTCCTGTCATCAACAAGGTGAGTTAAGCCCTTCCTCTGGGACAGGTTCACTGCTAAACACTAGAGACACCACAGAAGATGCTGGGGTGAAGCTCCCAGATAATAAATAGGGACACGAGCTAACTGCAGGTACTGGGAAGCACTGTGGGGCAGAATAAAGGCAGATGTGTGATGTGTGAGAGAACAAGAGGGCAGGTGAGGAGTGAGGGGCTGTCCTAGAAAAGGCAGAGGGGTTGCTCTAAGGTGAACTTCGAGCTAAGCTCTGAAGGATGGGAAAGTGCTATAGTTTAGCTCTTACTGACCCCAAAGGTCCATAAGTGAAAGGGTTTGTCTCCTGCATGGCATTATTGGGAGGTGGCGTAAACCTTTACGAAGTGGATGCTAGTAACAGGTTGTAGGTCATTGGGGCCTTAAAGGGGATTTTGGGAAGTTGGTATCTTCTTCCCTCTTTTTTCATATCCTGGCCATGAGGTAAACAGTTTGTTCCCCCTCCTGTTCCTGCCATGATGTGCTGCCTTGCCACAGACCCAAAGCAATGGGGCAATCAGACATGGACTAAAACTCCAAAACTGAGGCAAAAAAAAACTATTTCTAAATTGATTTTTTTTTTAGTAACAGAGAGCTGACTAGCATAGGAAGGAGCCATCCATGTGAAACAATGGGGAAAAGACCTTTAGGTAGAGGAAACATCACATGCAAAGGATTCAAGGTAGGAAAGAGCTTGACTTATTCAAGGATAGCAGAGAAGGCCACAGGGGCAAGCAGGGAGGTGAGAGGGGCAGGTGGCTATCAGAGCTGGACCCCAGGACAAGAGTGAAAGAGAGCTCCCAAAAGGTTTAGGCAAAGAGTATGGGCATGGTGGGGTGAGAAGTCAGCAGAATCTGGCTTACGGGAACAGAGGCAGGGAGGCCAGTGCGAGGGACTGTACAGAGACACAAGTGAGAGACGGGGCTTCTGGTGGCTGGTGCAGTGGAAAGGACGGACAGGTGTATCACGGTTACTCTAGTGGTGGAACCAAATGGCCTCTGTGATGGGGGAGATGTAGAGGCTGAAGGAGGACAGGTGTGGACACATGTTTGCATGTGTGTGTGGTCACAGGCCTGTGTATAACTCAGTATGTGTAGATGCTGAAGTACTACATGAAAGCAAACACCTGTACAAGACATATGTTCTCTTAAATGTCTAAAGTGAACACACAGTTATCCTATGCGTGTTCCCGTGTGTGTGTGTGCCTGCCCACATATGCCCAGGGCATGAGGTCTACGCAGAAAGCCACAGAAGAGGGAAGGTGCTCTCCGTCTTCCAGACCCCATCCACATTCCTGGATAAGAAGAGCCCAGGCCACCTGCCAGGGTCTGCTGTCACCCATCAACCCCAGGGAGGAACAGGGAAGAACAGGGAGGAACGGGGGCTCCCAAGGCAAGCTCACCTCCCCGGGCCGGATCTTGATATAGAAGTTACTCCTCTTGTATGAGATCTTGAGAATCTTGGGCCAAGCGAAACGGTTGATTCTCAGCCGGTCCCGGTAGATGAGCAGGCCATTGGCACAAACACCTAGCATGATGTCAATGCCCTCAGAGTCCTGCACAAGAAGGGACCACAGAATGGGAGACCTGGGATCCACACATGAAGCACCCTGAGCACCCTGAGCTCTGGTAGAAATGAGCCCTCAGGAGCATCAGGAGAGCCTCTTTACTGCAGCCCCCTCACCAACTCACTCATTCAGTCACTGACTCACTGCTCACTGGCTCTGTCATCTGCTCTGTCAATCAATCAATCACGGAGTATTTAGGAACACACTCAGTGCCAATCCATATGATACGTGCCAGGGATACAGCCACAAATTAAGGCCTGTGTCTTTCATTCATTTGCTCTCAATTGTATGGTAACACAAACAAGTTCATAAGGAAAGAACAAGGAACAAATGATAAAAATCATAAGAAATAAAAGGTTATGAACTTTGAGGAGTGAGAAATGAGAACAGAAAAAGTTCCAGGTTGGAGGCAACACAAGGTCTGGCACACCAAGCCTCTGCAGGAGCCTGACAGTACACCGGGGCACACCTGCGTGCAAGGGGGCCTGGGGCAGGGCGGTACCTTGGCATGGTGCAGATCGACTCCATACATGGAGAGCTTCTTGGCGTTCTCCAGGAAGTGGATCTCTGCTTCCCCCGGAGTCATGCCCCTGAGGGAAAGAAAGTGACCACCAGCAGTCATGCAAAGGCTGGGCCGGGGCTGCTTACTGAAGGTGGCTGTGACCAGAAGCCCTGCTTCTTGGAAGGTGGGTGGCTGAGCCGCTTCTCAGTCCCTCCTCTCTGCCCTCAGGGCAGGATGTTGAGGCTGCCCCAAGCCCACTTCAACCTAGCCAATCCCATTTCCGTAGAGCTCAGGTCTACTTCCTTCTAGAATGCAGACAAGAGCTGGGCTAAGTCAGGACTTCTGCCTCATTTGCCACTGAGTTGAGTGTGAACTATAAATCCTGCTCCTCCATGACTGTGAATCCATTGCTGAAGACATCATTCATTATAATCACCCAAGGCCTCCTAAATTATTACCACATAAGACATTTTGCTCAGAATTTAGTATCAGAAGCCATTTAATCTCCCCTGAGGAGCAGGTGCAAAGTCTCCTTTCTCAAAAGAGGAGTTACGTAATTGATCAAGATTCTTTCTTTGCTTTGGCTGTCAGGAAACTCAGACTACATTTTATACTTAGTCACAGCAAGCATTTATTGAATACTATGTGTGTGCTGGCTGCTGTTGCAGGCACTTCACAAAAATCAGCTCACTGAATCCTCATCACAGGTAGGTATCACGGTTATTCCCACCTTACCAATGAGGAAGCTGGCGCGGAGAGGTTGAATAACTTGCTCAAGGGCACACTTGCTATTAATAAACAGGCAGGATTCGACCACACATAATGTGGTTCCAAAATCTATGCTTCTAACTATTTCATTACATCTGTCTCTTATATCCTCTGGGCCCGCTTTCCTGGGCTCTGTCTGCCTCTGAGCTGGTGTGTGAGAAACCTGTGTAAAACTCTAGATGCCAACATGCTTTAAGTCCAAAGAGCTGCAGAGACATCCATTAGCATTTCTGCAACCCATATTGATCTGAATGTCTTTCTCTGAATTATTATGGATCTTGTGAATCCCCAAGGAACCTTGCTATCTAGGACAAAGATGACAGATAGATGGCGGGCAGGCTGCCCTATTCCTATGCCCAGGTGGCTACAACTGAACACTTGTATCCAACTTATCACGATACCACTGCAGTCAGTACTAACTAAGTAGAGTGGGTATGTGAGTCAGAGAGAGGCTTTTCCCCAAATACATGATCTCTCCACATCTGGCTCTCGCCCTCCTCCCCAGGTGCAGCCCACAGCACACAATCCTGCTTGTTCCCTCCATGGTAATGAGATGGCATCACCATAGCCATCCCTGCAGGCACAGCACTTTCCCTTTTATAATGCACTTGCACATCATTTATCACATTGGGTTCCCATAACAACCTCGAACTTGGAGCCTAAAGCATTTTCAACTTAAAATGGCCATAGAGATCATTTTGATCCAGGGGTAACTCCCAGGGCATAGTATCCCTGGCAGATCAGACATTTGGAAATAGGAGTGGAGAGGAGCAATTTTGATTATGACAAGAACAGAGTGATGTTACAGATATTTAATGCCAGGAATGCTAAACATCTAGCTCAATGAATTCTCCTGTCCCAAATGCCAGTAGTTGAGAAACACTGATCATCTAAGTCCAAGCATTTACAGGTGAAAGATGAGAAGTTAAAGAAGTTAAATAACCAGCCCACACTCATACATCCAGTTTATTATCGTCTAACTCATGGAACAAGGTTCTTTCCACCATTTGTTACCTAACCAACCACTCAGTTCGCAGATAGCAACCCTACGCAACAACATGCGTGTGTCTTTAACATGTGTCACGTGGCCCTCTCAACAACCTGATAGGTTTACTAGTGCCACGCTGAACAGATGAGCACTCCAAGGCACAGGGAAATGATACAATGTGCCAAGTTCCCCTAGTTAGAAAGTGACAGAGCCAGATGGCAAAACCAAGCAGGCTGGCATTTGAGACCAAACTTCTGAACTTTATGCCAAAATCCAGACATTGGTTTACTTACCTAGAGACATAGAGTAGTTATTATTATCTCTGCAATAATAATTTTATAATAGCTATTATTATCTCCAAGTGGCAGGTAAAGAAATTGATTCTCAAGGGCCAAGGTCAGGGAATTATAACACCTACCCAGTGGTGGCAAACCTATGGCACGCACGTTGTCTGTTTTTCTTTTAAAGCAAAAGAAGTTAATGGATGGGTTTCCTAAACTACAACATCAGTAGTCAGGCTTCATTGTTGACACCTGCGATAAAAAAGTGGGCTTTGGGTTTCAGTTTGGCCCCTCATCTCTAAAAGGCTCACCTACACTGAACCGAAGCTTAAGGAACTGAAGTCTGGGGAGGGCATTTGAGGACATGCAGCTAGTCACTGTCACTCCTGTCTGCCAGAAGATTTCCTCTCCGACAAACCTCCATTCGGGGCAGAGCCAGGTGGCCTACGTATACCACAGCATCCAGGGGCCTGGGACCTGCAGGGCTGCAAGAGTCTCTGGGTAGCTGGCTACCAAGCCCTCTCACCTGTATGTCTTGTGCAGCTCCATGATCCTCTCCTCTAGCTCCCGGGTCTGGTTCGGGGCAAAGCGGAGCTCAGTGACATAGTTGCCCACATGCTCCTCGGCATCATAGTCGCCAAGCTCAGCCTGCACAGCATAGGAGCCCAGCAGGGCGTGCGTGACGAAGGAGCAGGGCAGCCGGCCCGTGATGATGTCTGCTCGCAGCTGCAGGCACAGGTAGTACCTGGAGACAGGAGAGAGAAGCCGTGGGCTCAAGTCCAATGGAAACAAACAGATCACCACACAGCTCAGCAGAAATGGATGCCCCAAGACACTGGCATTTCACAGGGTGGTAATGTGGTTGTACCCTATGAGATGGCTTCGAGGCACTTCAAACGACTTTCAGCATTTTTGTTTATTTCTGAATTTGAGAGCTTTTTCCTACTATGACAGTATTTATAATTTCTAATTCATTTTCAAGTTCAACAGAATGACTTTGCTGGTTTAGCCCTTTAAAATACATATCATGTGGTTTTAGTTATGTAATGAATACGTTCTTATATGGGAAAAAATGCAAACTTCAGAGGTGACTCTAAATTCCTCTTATGCTCATTCTCATTCCTAATCCCTTTCCAAGGTCATCAGTTATCCATGTGGTATTCTAGACATTTCCCCTTGTGGAGACACAAAGATGCATGTGGTTTGATTGATGAGTGTTTTTAAAGCATAAATGGCATTGAAGCCTACATTTGATTCTACAGCTTGATTTGTCACACCCAAGAATGTGCCTCAGAGCCATTCCCGTGTCTGCACACACCACCCCACCTCATTCATTTTAACTTCTGCGCCTTCCTCCACATCCCAGATGGACCTGCCTGCCAATGCTTTCCCAGAACTTTTTACTGTGCCTCCAGCTCTAAGTGAATTGTCTAAAACAGTGAATTGTCTAAAACAACAACAACAACAAACAACAAATTGATTTAGAGAAACATTTCCAAACACCAGGCCAGGATTTTTTATAACTCATATGCACACTTGGATGATTTTACAGTTTTTAGAACCATTTAAAACCATTTTGTTATTGCTTTTCTGGTTATTATGGGGTGTTTGTTTCTTGAGACAGGGTCTCGCTGTGTAGTTCAGGCTGGCCTTGAACTCATTATGTAGCCTAAGCTGGCCTTGAACTCAGGATGATCCTCCTGCCTCAGCCTCAGGAGTGCGGGATTACAGGTGCGCACCACCACAGCTGGCTCTTTCCCTTAAGTGAGTTTTTTAGTACAATTTTGAGTGCTCTGTGACATTATTTCACAGTCAGAACTGAAACCCTAGTGACAAAGGGAGGGGGAGAGAAGGAGAAGGGACATAAAAAGAATGAAGATGCTCTATACATGTGCCAGCTCCCCATAATAAATGTCATCACTAGGTACTGCAAACATGTACCAGCAAAAGTAAAAATTTAAAAAAGAACTGAAATCCTAGCAAAAGTACATACAGCCTCAGTGTGTGCTCAGGGACAAGCTCAAACACCATAAGCATTGGGTACGGGCCTGTGGCATTTTGTTCAAAAGTCTAAAATTTCAGAAATCACTGCCAAATGCTCTGACCAATCCTTCATTTCAATCAATTTGTCATTTTGACCAGTTTATTTTGGGCCTAACTATTTTTGACTAAATCAGCTGCTCCTGCCACCCCACCTCCTGGGGCCATCTGTGCTGGGCATAGTTAACTTCCCTCCTGGTGTCCCCACGAGCCCAGTGCCCAGCGTCTGGCACAAAATGGGAAGGCACCGGTGGGCAACACCACAGGGATGGGAACTGAATTGGCCTAAAGCTCAGAACTGGCTGCTGTCACTTTGGCCTGGAGCTGACCTCAGGGCTCTAAGTAGGGCTAAGGCCAAGGCCTGGGGCCTGATTATTCCAGGAATATCTGTCTTATCTCAAAGCCAGAGTTTGCATCTTGAGCTTGGTCTGCTGCTCGGCACACATTCAGCAGGCATTAAGAGACTCAATGGAAAGGAAGGGGCGTCATAGCACCCTTCCCACTGCAGGAGAACTCTAAAGCCATGTCTTATGGTTGGGGTATGGGGCCCATCACCTGGATGGGTACCCCCCATACCCTCAAATGAGGCCATCTGTTTGAAAGGGGCTTAGCTAAAGAGAAAGGCCTCATTCTGCTTTGGTTTCCAGAGGCAGGATGAACAGAGGACGGTCCCACCCTCAGGTGTTTTGCACTCCCTTTTGATCTGCAAGCCAGCTATCTATTGCTCCTGAGGCACAGAGGCCTGTACAAGTAATCCCCGCTTGCCCAGCAGTCCAGGCTTGCTACCAGTCCAGGCTTGCTGCGGGGGAGGGGCCTCATGGCCTCTTTGACCTCCACACCCCTCACACACACCTAGATGCTGGATCAAACGCACACATGCAAAGAACTGCCAGTTCCCTCCTTATCCCCAACATTGAAAAACACTGGTTCACCCAGAACATTAGCCGTCACTGTCTTGGGTTTGGTTTCCACCCAGGGATGGCGCACATTGATTTTAAAAGTTTACAGTCATTGTCAGTATTTAAAATTTTCAGGGTTTGCTCTTAAATCTCTAGCTTCACCTCAACAATCAAGCCCAATCCCCACAGGCAGTGATTACCTACAGCTGTCCTCTTCAACTCACCATGGGCTCACAGCCCCAGGACACCTCCCTCTCTGAGGTCAAGGGTCATCTTCCATTGGCCACATTTGACCCTGTTTCTCTCACATTATCTGCTTCCTTTGCCAGTGTCCTGGGCTCACCAGACCTCTGCACATACAGCCCCATGTCTCCCAGGCCAGGTACCCACACCCAGTCCCCCAGGGCATCACACTCAGCCTCTCTCAGCGCTCACCTTGTGATATCCTCTGTCAGCTGGGCTGGGTCAGGGGGGTAGAACTTGACTGTGAAGGCAAAATTCCAGGGGCTGCCTGAGAGGAGAAGACCAGGGGAGATCAGAGAAGCCCCACCATCCTGGTGGGTGGCCCAAATGCACCAGGCTATAGGCAACTTTTCAAAGTCTTCTCCTATTTCAGATCTACACACAATCTAGTCGGGAAGCCTGGACGGTTTTTACCACTTGACAGATGCAGAAACTGACGGTCAGATCAGGAGACCTGGGAGCTGGCAGTGGGGAGGAAAGTGGAAGGAGACAAAGCTAAAGCTGTGCTCCAAGTGCGCACGCTGTGAAGCACTTCAGAACATCGCTCCCCTGGACCTCACACCACGCTGTAAGGGGTCCTGTGAGCAGCCCCACCTTGCAGATGGGGACACTGAGGCAGGCTGAGGCAGTAAGACCGCCAGCTTCAGGCACATTATGGCAAGTTAGATGAAGATTCTGAGAGGCGAGGTCACTCTCCAGGCATCACTCCGTAGCTGGTGGCAGAGAACAGGTATCCAAACTGCGGTTCTCTGACCCCAGGGCCCAAGCCCCTGACTGCAAGAACTCTATGGAAAAAAGAACCTCAAGGGGACACAATTCGTGCCTCAGGGATGATAACAGTGCTGGCAAATAATAAAATGATAATAATAATAAAACAATAATAGCTGGTGCACAGGGTGTACGGTGAGCAGACACAGTTGTAAATGTCACACACAGAGCAACTCCTTTAACCCACACCTCAGTCCTGAAGTTAAGCATTTTCATTACTCCATTTTATAGGTGAGGAAATTGAGGCACATAACAGTTAAACAGCACAAGAAGTAACGTGGACTCCAGTCCAGCAGTCTGGCCCTGTGTCTGTCACACTGCCTCAGGGAAGCTGAAAGAAAACAGCCCCTGAGCTGGGTGCTCGGTGTTGGGTGCTGGCCACACTCTTATCATTTAATGTTACTCCCAACGCATGAGACAAGAATGACTCGTCTGCTTGCCAGGCAGAAACAAGGCCCAGAGGACTACTCCAGGTGTCCTGGCTGACAGGAGGCTCGGAAGGAGATACACACAAGTCTGAAGCCCAGGCTTCAGGCTCACGCAGCTACCTTCAGAAGGCTGAAAGGCTGCCACAGCCAACAGAAAGGAGAAAAAACTGTTCTCTGTGGTCCCCAAGGGCAGGGCCAGGATGAATGGCTGGGAGTTACAGGGCAGGGACAGAGGCTGGGGCTCTCCTGGAGGGGATAGTTGTAGTTTAAGGTGCTACAAGGAGCAACTGTCCACGCGACTGGGCCGTGCTGGCTGCAGCCATGTGCATGTGCTGAGGACAAACGCGGAAGCCTGACCATTCAGCTTGGTTGCCTCTCTTTCCAGGCTCTCAGTATTTAACGTTAAATACTTAGACCTCTGCATGTGTTGTGATTCCTTCCCTGGAGCTGCCAGAGGTCAGCATGAGCCCAGCCCTAGGACCCTGTCTACCCTAGGGGACTGTGCTTGGCCTGTGTGGCTGCTCTTTGTCTCCAACTGACAGGAACCTACTGGAAGAATTCTGCAAGCCCCCTCCCGCAGAGTCAGCTGGCATCTCTGGGCCCAGCTGCCTGCTGTCATGGCAACAGGCTTGGATACAGTTTTCCAGCCAGGGGACCAGAGAGCCAGGGGGAAGGGCTCTGGGCGGAGGCATATCTGCCTCCGAGCCCCAGGTTTCCACCTACTACAAGAACCTTGCTGAGGCCACTGACTCCCCACCCCCACCTTCTGCCATTTGAAAGCTGCCCGCCTCGCCCAGCATGCCCTTTCTCTCTAGGCCAGAAGCACAGGTTGTAGGTTGTCTGCCTTCTCCCCAGGCCCTCAACAAGAGCACAGGATGAGGTTGGAAGGTCAGGACTGAAGACTGGCTCAGCCAATATTTGGTTCTGTGACCTTGTGTAAGTAACTGCTTCCCTCTGGGCCTATGAGGAACGGGCCCTCAAGTCTGCACTAGCTCTGGAGAGGAGGGTGGCTGTTTCCAGGCCATCTGTCTCCTTGTCCTGGATGGTTCTGCAGGTCCCTCCTGGGGCTGACAGCTGAATGCATCTGTGACTCCCCTGTTATCTTGTGTGACTGCACAGCTATTGCTCTTCTCTAGGCCTCAGACTTGTCATCTATAAAACAATGCTCAACACTGTTCTGCTTCCCTAAGACCTGCCATAGAGATTCCCTGGGAAGGAGCTTGGGGGTCGAGATGCACTTTCCAGAGTCAGAGTGAGCAGCACAGCAGGGCCCCACCCACCCTTCCACTGCATCCCAACCAGCACCAGCCACTCACTCCGGATCTGCTTCTTGATTTCCTTGGAGGGGTCCAGCCAGTTCTGAAAGAGAAGACAGAATTTCTCAGAAGAAAGATGGAGGAGAGGGCCAGACTGGGCTGGGAGAGAGAAATACCCTGAAATGGTCACTTGACAGCCTCTGGTGGGGGATGCCCTGCCCTGGCTGAGCTTTTTCCTTGGGATTGGGAGACAAGGGGAACAAGGCCTGGGCAGACTCCGCACCGGACTTGGGACCCAGCCCTGTGCTCTGATGTTGGCCCGGGGCAGCCATGACGAGAAGGTATTGAGCCACAGTGGGAAGGGGACAACCAAGCAGGACCTCCAAAGACGGGGAAAAGGCCCTGGAGTGGGGCCACCTCCATCCCTACAGGCAACTCAGGTAGCCATGGTGGGGTTCTCAGATATCCATCTGGGGTTACTTACAAATCACCAAGAAAAGACTAGGGGTGGGGGTGGAGACAGAGGACTGACAATAATAGGGCTGTCAGGTGCCTAATGGAAACCCTGGGGTGCAGACATGACTGAGGAGGCCTAAGGGAAGAGGCCCACCCCCATGCACCCCACAACAGGCACCTTCTGGCTGTCAGCATCGCAGAAGGTCAGGCCAAAGTAGTCCTTCTCCAGGAGGTTGAGGTGCTCACAGACCAGGTCAAACAGCACCTGACCCCGGCCATGCTTCTACAGGGGAGAGCAGAGTTATCATGAGACTGGAATGCACCTTAGGATGGGCTGGGCGATGCCCGCAGCTCCATCAGAACTACAAGAAAGGCCCTGAGAGCCTTCTAGCACCAAGAAGGGACCTCAGCCCTCCTGCCACCTGGTTCTGCTTTCTGAGTCCTAAGGGACCTGGGGTGACAGTGCCAAGCTCCTCCAGGTCCTTCCAAGCCCTGCTAGGGTCTCTCTAGCCCCTGGTTTGCTGGCTTGGAGGCAAGTGGAAGTGGGGGTACAGGGAGTAGCTGATTTCTCCTTCTTTTACAGCAGTCAAGGGGAAGACCAGAAAACCAAAGTCCTAAGCTTCGGGTGGGAGAGGAAGAGGAGAGCTTTTTGAAAAATGAGAGGCATAAGCAGGAAAAGGGGGAGGGCCTGGGGTTCAGGGTCACAGAGTGAGTCTCCTTTTCATGGCCTTTCCCCTCAACTGAAGTCTAAGTGAGAAACAAGGGCAAAAGAGCCATCCCTCGCTGAGCAGCAAGTGAAGCAATAAAGAGGTATACAGGGTCTCCATCGGCTTCTACCAGAAGTACTCCTGTCAGCCACCACCCGACCCTCTTCCACTATCACGCAACAAGGCCGGGGACACTCTGAACCCCTTTTCCGGCCTGAGGATTCAGCATGACAGAGCCCACGACCAGGCTGGGTACCCACAACTCACAGGAGAGAAGACAAACATGAGCGAAGGGATCCCAGGTAGCGGCAGTCACCACCCAGAGAAGTAGGGGCTCAGAGAGAGTGGGTGAGAACCCTGCAGGGTATGGCTGGGTCCCCATGGACCGGACCAGGCATAGCAAAGGATTTCTGAGCCTGAAGCCCAGTCAAGGGAGTGGACCTGGCCTGGGCCAAACCCTCCACGTGCCGCTGGGGCAGCTGAAGCAGCACTTTGGGACCACGGGCCATAGAAGAGCCTTGTGCAAGAACAAGAAAGGTGTTTGCTCAGAAGAAATACACAGTAAAACAACAAAAGTGTGCAGAGAAGCGGGGCCCAGCCTCCCAGGGTTGAGAAGTTAGTCACCTCCCCTACAACCAAGGCATGCTCTGAAGAGCTCAACAGTGAGACCACCCTCTGAACTCTCCCACACACGTGGGGGAAGCACTGGGCACGGGGCCTGGACAGGAGTGGAGCCCTTAAGGGACAAGGGGCTCCAGGGATGGGGAGAAACAGAACCCACACTGAGGGCAAGTCTGAGCCCGCACAAGTCAGGAGATATTACACAAGGGGCCAGAAGGGCCAGAGAGGAAGCATCTGTGGCGTCACTGGTAGGCCCCAGGGCCGCACCACAGGGGCTTCTACACAGATGAATGCGTCCTTCCAATGGGCCACCTCCCCATGCCTGGGTGACATACTTAGCATAGAATCTGCAGGTGACTGTTTGTCCTGGAGACTGAGGTGGTGCCCTGGGCAGGGGTATTCACAAGGAAGGGAGGACCCCTTTCTCTATCAACAAATACAAAACAACAACAACAAAAACAGACTGTTGTCTAAGCATTAGTCTCTGCTGGGTGAGATAGAAGCGCCTGGTTTCTGGGCCTAATGGGCTGTGGATCAGCCCTTAGATAGTAGCGACCTTGCCAAGGTACAGCCGTCCTGAGAAACCTTTTCCTGGTGCCAGCCCTACGCCTTGTCTCATTCTGTTTGCAATCATAATCATCGCGTTCTGGGCCTTCTTGCCACCATCTGTACAAAAGAGGGCCAGGCCAGGTCATCTCTCCGGACACTGCAGTCGTTCCAGGACTCCTCTGGTGCGACTCAGGCTGACACACACAGGAGCTGCCTGGCTGGGGCCAGCCAGCCGGGTATGGGGCATATGGCGCTGGGTGCTCTCCTACCTCCACCTCACACTCGTACTCAGAGGCATCGAGCAGAGTGACTCGGCAGATGGCACTCTTGTACTTCTTGGCAATCTTCTGGGGTGACTTCTGGGCCTTGCTGGGCGTGGTCCTCTCTGACAGGCCATCGGCCTCGCAGTAGTCCTTCTCCTCCATGTCTAGGCTCTGCAGGCCCAATTGAGGGAAGAGTTTGGTCAGTGAGCTTGAAACCATGGCCTTTCATACAAAAGAGAAGCAACGGGGTATTTTTTTTTTGCTTGTTGTTGTTTTTATGAGGCAGGGTCTCATTATACAGTTCAGGCTGGCCTTGAACTTGCTATGTAGCCCAGGCTGGCCTCAAACTCACGGTGATCCTCCTGCCTCAGCCTCCCAAGTGCTGGGATTACAGGCGTGTGCCACCACGCCCAGTATGAGAAGCAACTGGAACAGCTGGAACAGAGCTGATCCCAAAATGATAGTCACTTCCTTCTGAGACTCATGGAGTGTCCAGCGGCCATGGTTAGTGTAGACAGGAAGAGAGCTCAAGTCTCTAAATGCAATGAGGGGTCTGCATCTCTCCCACAGGCTACTGCTGGCAGGGGAAGCGCCTGCAGGCAGCTGCACCCCACAAAACTAAACCTGTGGCCAATGCTCTGCCTCCCTAGAACAGGGCATGAGCTAGGACAACACCTGTCTAGTCTCCTCCTTCTCATCTGTTACAGAACCTAGCATGGGGCTGGGAGCTGTGGCCAGGTCTGATGCGGGGAAGGGCCAGGGCTCCGCCCCACATCCCTTGATGACCCTGGCCTAGTCCTTGCCCTCTTTGGGTCTGTTGTGAATTAAGGGAGGTGTGAATTAGAGGACTAGAAAATTCCTCGAGTCCACTGTAGTTTTAGAGCGATGAGTTTTGCTCCAGAATCAAACTAGGCTTGCCAAGCTAGAATAAAAAGGCTCAAAGGTGGAAAAGAAAGTTGAAAGAACGTAGTTTTTGAAGCCAGATCTAAGTTCGACTTTCATTCTGTCACTTTATGGCAATGTGACTTTGGGTAACCTGCTCCATTCCGCTGAGCCACAATTTCTCTAAATGCAACATGGGGAAATCAACACCTACTCTCTGAGGTTTGGGAGAATTAAACATAAAAAGGACCACAGTGCAGTGTAACAGGTTACAAATGAATCTTAGTTTCCTTCTTTCTCCCCGCTGAGAAAATACTAGGGGCCTAAGAACGGGACACAAGGACTGGCCAGGCAGGGGGAGGGCTGCCCACGACCTCGGGGAGCTACCTGTTCAGCAGGCCGGGTGTCCTGCTGGGGCGGATGCTTCTCATTGGAGTTGGCCTCTGGGTGGCCGTGGCCTGCAGGGGTCACAGGCGTGGTCACAGCAGCAGCAGCCTCAGGCTGTTGGGGGGCCTCCTCCTGAGCCTTCTTCACCTCAGAATCGGGGCCTGTCTCTGTTGTCATGGCGACCAGCACGCCTGCATTGGCATGAAGGAGAGCATGTGACGGGAGAGGGATGGCGACAGTGTGACAGCGCAAGGGGGCAGGAATCACATGCAGAGAGAAACAGATGGAGGGAAGTGGACGAAGAGCCAGAGAGCGAGAAGGAAGGCGGGAGGGACGGAGGGAACGGGGAGAGGGCAGCCACGAGAAGTGAGGGGTTAGTAGCGGCAGCTGAGGTCAAAACCCCATTCCCACTCTGTACCCACAGTTTCTCAGGGATCCCAGTCTCTGGGCCCAGATGTGAAATCTTATCATTTTCTATGGATAGCAGAGTTCTCTCTAGGGAACCCTACTCTGCCAAGAACACAGGGGTCACTGAGTGACCAGCTCCAGGCAGGACTCTGGCTCGCTGTCTCTCTGGTCATAGCATCTGGCACACAGTAGCCCCTCAATAAATGCTCGATAAGCTGAACTCAACCAAAAGAGCTCTGGATTCCAAGTCCTTCAGGCAATGAATCTGGGCAAGCCTCTACAAGCCCCAAGCCACAGTTCCTGCCTGCATACGGGCACATACATGCACACACACGCACACACACACACATGCACACACGCACACACACACACATGCACACACGCACACCTGGCTTCACAGTCAGGAGGAGTCTACAACAGGTAGGCACTTAAGAAAAACACACGGGGGGAGGGGAGAGCTCCACGACTCCAAGAGTAGATGCCCCCCTGCTTATGAGCTGAGGGGAGCATTCAAGTGCCACTTCCCTCTTGCTGTTCCATGGCCAGTTTGATGTGGGATAGAGTTTTTAAAAAAGAATGAAAAGAAAAAAAAAGAAAAACACATTGCTTTGTCCAGGTAGAAGTCAGAGCTCAGTACCCAGTCTGTCACAAATGTGGCAAACACTTCACCTCTCTGGGACTCATCCACCAAGTGAGGCACTTAAGGGAACCATCTCTGGGACAAGCTATTCATGGCATTCTCCCTCTGAGAATTAAATCAGGAGATTCCAGAGAGAATCAAGGATCCACTGCCCAGTTAGTCTGTTGGAACTGGCCAATTGCAGAGAAAGAGACAAAAAGAAATGTCATGACAAAACAATAACCTCAACAACTTATCCTTGTGTTTTACATATTTAGTAAAAGATGTAGAAGGACACCACACTGTTAAAGAGATGTTAAAGGAGCCGGATGTGGTGGTGCATGCCTATAATCCTTGGAAGGCTGAGGCAGGAAGATCACCACAACGCTGCCTCAAAAAAAAAAAAAAAAAAAAAAGAGAGAGAGAGAAAGAGAGATGTTAAAGGAAAAGTGAAAGAGATTCATCGAAATGGGGTGGGATAAGAGGAAGCTTCATTTTTTTACTTTCTACACTTTGGAATTACATTTTTAAAAAGATGGTTAGATGGATACATAAATGGAGATAGAAAGATAGATAGATATTAACCCACAAGCTTTGTTTTTTATTGTCTTAGTAGTAAAAGCACTCATTCTTGACTCCAATTAGTGCATCTTCAAAAAAAAAAAAAATTTGGAGCTAAAACCAGGGAACAAAGAAAAGGGTAAGAATTCTCAGCCCCAAGGCCAGACTCTTACTGTAAATCCATCGCACGACTGCACATAAGAAAGATCCAGATCAGATCTGGCAGGCCCTTCTGATGGCCAGAAGGACAGACAGGCAGACAGACACAGGACCCACCCTGGGCTAGCTACATGCTCCAGGCTCCCTGCCTCGCACTTCCTCTTCTCTACTCCTTGGGGTTCTAAGGATCAAATCCAATGGCTTGAACACAATAGCTAAGTGTCCTACCACTGAGCTATACCCACAGAATATCATTTTTACTCTTTAGTTTTTCTCTCACATTCCCATTGGCATTTGCCTGGTCCAAAACACAGGGCACTAGACAGAAACTGGGGACTCTGAGTAGCCCACTCAGCCACAGGAGAGCTCCAGGGCCCTGAAGAATCAGGGTCACGGGCATCCTGAGATCCTCTACAGCAGGTCACAGTGGAAGGCTTTGTGAGCCTGAGCTCATGGCACAAGGGAGGACGGGGTGCTACGGAAGCTGCTGTCAAGAAGTAAGATGAGCAGGAAAGGAAGGTGCCGGTCATTATCATCTCATCCCCACCCACAGCTTTCCCCTCAAGCCACTACCCTGGGTCTTAGGGTTACACTGAGGGCCTTAGGCTCTCACTTGACACCTCGGCCAGCACACAAAGTGACAAGAGTAGCTCTGGGAAAGCTCCCAACCTAGGAAGGCTCAAACTAAGACCTGTCTGCTGGGCTTGGGATATTTGCTAAGCCTGCACTTGAGAATACTGGCCATCGCATTAGATGAAACCTATATGCAAGGAACCTCAAAATAAAGGCTTACTTAATTTTGCTTTAAAAAACAGAATTTACAGATTGGTCTGTATGTTTCCTGCTATACAAAGCAGAATCCACATGATTCTTATGGCCAGACATTGCTGCGGCACATCCATTCTACTCCTCCAATGGCCTCAGTCTGGTTTCAGCCTGGACTCTCAGAACTTTCCCCCAAGCCTGAGTCTTCTTGGGAACAGCAGGAAAGCAGTCTTAAATAAAGATCCCTGTCTTCCCTGCCTTGGTCTCCAGCAGAGTGTGCTGGTAGCCTGTACCACGGATAAGAAGCGCTGGCTATCTTCTGAGATAATTAAACCTACTCTTCTTTTACATGTTAAACTCAGAGATCAAGAGACTCAAGTGACAGTCATTTCCTCAGACAAGGTTCCTCTGCTTTAGGATAAATGCCAAGGAGGTGCAGGGGGCACTCCCCTCGGAGTGTAAAAGAAAAGGGGGGTGCAGAAAATTACGGAAAACATCTGGGTGAAAAAAGCATGGGCCACAACAGTTTGTACAGATTGATGCTATTTTAATTAATACACATACATAGATCCAGATGGTCCCCAATTTATGACAGTACTACCTACGATTTTTCAACCTTATGGTGGTGTGAAATTGTATTTTCAATTTCAGTACAATATTAAAGAAATTATGTGAGATTCAGCACTGTTATAAAATAGGTTTTGTGTTGAATGATTTATGCCAAACTGTAGGCTGATTTAAGCGACCTGAGCACATTTAAGATAGGTTAGCTAAGGTACGATACTGTACAGGTTAGGTATATTAAATGCATTTTTTAACTTATGATATTTTCAACTTAAAATTGATAGGGGTATCAGGATATATTCTCAGGGTAAGTCAAGGAGCATCTATACTGAAAATTAAGCAAAACATTAGCTATGGTTATTTTTGGGTGGCGGAAGCATAGACTGTTATTTTTTCTTCCTTCTGTTTAACTACAGTTCTTGTTTTTTCTACTATACTTAGAGATTCCTTGAATGGTTTTTTAATAAACATTTATTTACTTTAGAAATGAGATCTTCCTTTGTTGGTCTTAGACTCCTGGGCTCAAGTGATCCGTCTGCTTCAGCTTCTTAAGTAACTGAAACTACAGGTGTGACCACATCCAACTCTTCAAATGGTTGTTTTAAAAATGAGAGGTTAAAAAATAAATTTTTCTGATGCATATGGCTTGGTATGACAGGATGAAAGGAGGTAAACAAAATGTGTTTAAACTTTTTAGAAAATTTGTAAATTAAAAGAAAAATACCATTGTTATTTCTGAAACCTATGATGAACTCTTTCTTTGATAAGTCCAAGGATAAGAGGATGGTTCCCTCACTAGGCCACAGAAAAGGAGCCAAGAACGCAGCCTTGGTTGGCAGAGCCAGCCATGCAGGCACATCTGCCCAGGCCCAGGTCAGAGAGATGGACTGAGCCTGCTGGGTACCTGGGCTGGGGACCGCAGGGGAGCCTCATGAGAGCCACATGCTGGTTCCTGTGGGGGCTGCTGCTACAAGATGATGCTGTCCCAAGGCATGGCTGGGGTGATTCAGATTGGCCAGTGTACACTTCAGCCTCTGAGCAGACTCCGCCACTTGGTGATCTTGAATGTCATCTATAGTTCCCAAAGGAGTCTTCTAGGGTAGGGGGTGCAGATGGGGTTAGGAACTTCTAGACAGGAGATGGCACAGAGGGCCCTTGAGCTGAGTCACCATGTGGGTAATCCAGAGATGGGATCAAGCAGGCCATGCTGGGAATAAAGAGGAGCCCTTGACATTCTGATTCCTCAAAACAGCTGTAAAGGGGAGCTACAGACAGCTTGCCAGGAGAGACAGGACGGACCTGGGGAGAAGTGAAGGGCTGGGAGGTATAAGCAGCTTTGCAAAAGTCGTAAGTACCCCTGACCACTGGAGAAGGACAGACATCCACCACTGAGCAGTGCTACGGCTAGACCCAGGCCAGGGTCAACCACACAGCAGGGCAGGGAGCCCTGCACCGGTCACTAAGAGCACAGGCTTAGGCTTTGGAGTCAGGCCCATGGAGACCCAAAGCCCAGCTCCGACGCTTCCTTGCTCTGTGACCTTGGGCGAGTGATTTCATTTCTCTGAGCCTCAGTTACTTGTCTATGAAGCCAAGATATTCCTCCTTCCCTCTCAGGGTGGTGATGGACATTCAGGAAAATAACCCCAAAGAGCACTGAGCATGGTGTACACTCCATGAAAGAACCCCAAGAGGTACGTCTATTGTTATAAGCACTAACGGGAAGAAGCCGCAGTGAGGACTGCCCTGAAAACAAGAGCATGCAAATGCCTGCCCCAGTGGGTGCAGAAAGAGATGCTCCAGAAGACAGAAGCGGCAGGGCCAGACTGATGACACCGACATATGAGAGGCCAAATGCACAGGATTAGAAAAGAGAACAGACAGCCAGAAAAGTAATGCTGACAGCACCCTGTCTGGGAACAGGGGCCCAGCACAGTCCCGAATGTTCGCTGGCCTGGGCTGGGGCTGGCCCAGCGGGCGGCCTGCATCTGAGGCTCTGCAACATTGCATCCTCCATCTGGCTTCCCTGGCTTCCCTTCCAGGGGCACCCTTCCCACGCTGTGTGTTTCCATCTTGGTGGCCTTCACGGAGAGGATGTCCCAGACTAGCGGAGAATAG